TTGAGTCAGTGTTTCTGTGTGGAGTTTGCATGTGCTCATGGGTTTCCTCCTGGTTTCCCTGACAAGTCCAAACACATGTGCTATGGGTGAATTAGGTAGGCTTAATTGTCCGTAGTGCATGTAGATGAATGTATGTGTGTGTGTGTGTGTGTGTGTGTGTGTGTGTGTGTGTGTGTGTGTGTGTGTGTAGGGGTTTCCCAGTGCAGCTTAGAGGGCATTCTCTTGCATAAAACTTATGCTGGATTAGTTGGCGGTTCTTTCCGCTGTGGCGATCCCAGATTAATAAAGAGACTAAGCCGACAAGAAAATGAATGAATGAAATGATTGCATGTATAAATTTGTTATAAATGAGTTGTTTTTGTTCCAGTCACATACATTAAATGTTTAAATATCTATTAAATATGGTAGTGCTTATATTATTTTACCATCTGTACACCAATATAAGTAGTAAATGTGCGTGTCTGTGTATCGGGCTGTGTCGATGTGGTAATGTGGCCACAGTGCCAGGGCTGATTTTTGGTCCCAGTCCACCCCTGCTCAGGACAATCAATTAGATTTTTTTTGTTTGCCTGCAATTTTTATTAAATGAATGTCTCCTGACAATCCACTGGGCTCACTTGCCTCGTTTAGTTTGGTTGAATCATGTTAGAGTTCATTTTCCTGTTTGGTAAGGTACAATTGGATAGATAAGAATGCAGCAATCACACTTGAGTGGATTAAAGTGGTTAGCTTGTGATGAGAACATACAGTAGTCCAAACTCGAACAGATCAACTTAAAATGCTAACAGCTCAGTGTTAGCTCACTTCTGAAGTGACTTCACAGGTGTCGAAGACTCATTGGCGATTCTCTCATATTGAGTCTTTAATAGTTATCACAAGGTGCTATCCACCTCCGCCATTTGCTGTGCTTTTGTTTTCAACCTGCTTTTATGCTTCATTCTTAAAATATATAATCTGTCTGAAGTGATGAATACAAACTAATACTGTATACTATGAGCAGGGATACAGTCAGCCAGTGCAGTTCTCTCTCCATACTAAGAAGTAGTGTGTTGTCTGAAGGCTTTTCCTCCTCATTTTGTTTACTTTCGGTAGTTCCAGAGGAATATTCATGCAATGTGGACCAATCAAAACGCAGTTCTGTCCAACGTGTGATCTAGATGTTGTAAAATGACTGCATTTTAGTTCAATTCAGCTAGTTTGAGCAAGAGTTATCAGTTGTCCTTGGTCTCGGCCAATTGAAATGAACTATAAAACTGTAAAAGCACCCTTTAAAAGTGAATTCATTGTTCTTTTTAAGAAATTGAACATGATTTACAGCATAATTTACTTAATGCCGAGTTCAGACTGCATAATTTTCAAAGTAGTCGTGTCACAGGTGTTTTCACACTGCATGACTATCTGGGGTAGTGTTTCATCGCTGCTTTGTTTACACTGTAGGAAGGATCGGCGACAGGGAGTTTCACACTGCATGACTTCAGAAGAGGAAGAACCTGCAACAACTTTGTCTCGGTCCAAAAACTACATCTCTCACAATCAAACAGATGTGAGAATTGACATGGAAACAACAAAAGATCATGTAGTATATCTTTTGTCATTAACAACACAATGAGGAAAGAAGCAAGAACCAATTTCTCATCATTTTTTTTTCTATTTTGATTGCTTAGAAGACACAGGTGCTCCTGCCAATTTTGCACTAGTTTTTCCTCCATTTCTTGGATCCAAATAGACTGAGAAGCACCACCTTTAACTTCTCCCTCAACCTCCCGCTGGCTTGCAGATACCCATACTAGCAGATGCTGTTCTCTCATTGGCTGCAGGTGATCGCCTATGTTTCTTTTTCGGTCAAAACTCATTTCACATGGCATGACTTGAATCGCCTGCAGCTCCAGATATTTAGCATGCCAAATATCTTACGGGTGTCGAAGACTCATCAGCGATTTTCTCATATCGCGTCTTTAATAGTTCATACTGTCTCACTGCACCGATTTGCTTGTGATTTCAGGCATTTGTCTGCGATTTCTCAAAGCCTGTTAGCCAGGCAAAATCGGGGCTAAAAATCACGCAGTCTCTGCATTAGTTGTTGACAAAGACTTGAACAAAACTCTATTGCCCCCTCGTGCACTGGAACTTGCTAATGTAAATTATGCACAGGAATTTTTTGTTTCATTTGCATGCCTGTAAAACAATATCTGCAATAAACATACAGTACATGTGGAAAACTGCAGTAGACATTGTGCATAGACATAAATTAGACAGTATTTATTCTTATTGTCAGTGATTTTTTTTCTATTACTTTCGCTTTGTTTATTTTCTTAGGTGTTTGTTTTATATGCAAAGCAATATTCCGGCTGATATATATATATATATATATATATATATATATCACACACATATATATATGTATATATATATATATATATATATATATATATATATATATATATATATATATATATATATATATATATATATAGGCACATTGTCGGTGCAGCTTCTTCCTTTGTGTATCAGAGCGGGAGGAAAAGCCTCATCTGTCTTGTGTCTGGCGGTCCCTAGTCAGTTCACATTGATATGCAGACCACACGGCTGTGCTGCTCACGGACTGCGATGAAGGGCCCGGGATACGATATGTAATGACTCTGAAGGCTCTTTAACACCAGTAGATGCAGAACGACTTGCAGATATAATGTTGGGATCTCAAACACATCTCAAAACGGCCTCATGATACTGAATGTGTTAACAACCTGACTTATGAGAGTTGCAGTCTTAATAGTAGAGATTGAGAGAGACTTTACAGTATAGCTGCCTTTAAAAATTGCATACTACTCGAGTAGTACTACATTTGAATTTACCACCATTAGAAAAGTATGTTATATATAGTATGAATACGAGTAGCATAAATGGAATTAAATTGTATTATGTATGTCATGTTATTAATCACCGAACTACATCTAATCTGTGAACGTCTAGCCTACTGTTATACTACTATGAATTAAGGAATACTCTGTTATACTACTTTGAATACTATGAATTCAGACGTATACTACACAGCTCAGATACTGTCTTCACATAGTATAGAGACGTATGCATCAGTCTAGTTAATACATAAACTGGGTAATGACTACAGTAGGAAAAGAATGATATAAAACAATGCTTACTTTGGCACATGCATATTTCAGTTGACTTGAGTGTTCCTAAGTGTCATTTTTTTCCATACATAAATAAAATATTGTCAGCATGTCTTGATATAGATGCACTCTAGGCTACTTTAAGCACACAAAAAAATCTAGGTACCAAAACCTGACGGGAAGACTCTCAAGTTGACCAATAAGTGGTGAAATCGAGTATTTAAACCCCTGTGCTACAGCCTTACCATGGCGAATGTCTAAAATTGTGCTTTTCTGAGATTTTTTTTTGCACTTGCTGCATAAAAAATGCATGGTAGCGATGGCATCTCTCGCTCTAGTTCCCTAAGCCATGACCCAAGACAGGCTTAACTAGGAAAGTTGTTCGCTAAATGTCATCTGGGTCCAAGAAACTCTTGCTCTCTAGAGGACCGAGCTGACCCAATGCTCTGGTTTTAGTAATGTTTATGAGAAGCTATTTTAAAACATCAGACAGTTAGGCTACAAGCTAAACTAACTCATAATTCTAGCACAGAAAGATAACCCTTAAAAAAGGTCTAATACTTAGCAATGGATGGATGGATGGATGGATGGATGGATGGATGGATGGAAAACAAGAAGAAGGAACAAATAGATGGATGGATGGATGGATGGATGGATGGAAAACAAGAAGGAAGAACAAATGGATGGATGGATGGATTATCTTGGTTGGTTATCCTTGATTCTCTATTAGTTAGAGATGTTAAATCATTTACCTTACAGTCATTCTTTACCATATATATTTTTGTATTCTTTATTATATTTTGTATGCTCTGTCAAATAATATGTTAACCGAAACTGGCCTTTGAGGAAATGTAGTTTGCATTCTAATGAGGCATTTTGCAAAAAGAGCTATCTTGGACAAGACATATGGAGTAGAAACAATAAGAATAACATGTGTCTCTTGCTTCTAATTTTCCTGTGTAACCATTTATGAAAATGTATTGAGGCCTATGGAGGTCTCTAAGCATGCACATTTAACTGGTCCAGTTCTTCTGTGCAGAAAAGAGGAACTAGAGACGGTGCAGAAAAGCTGACAGAGACAACCCACCTTCTCCTTCTTCTGTGTATATAAACTGGGTCTTTAATCCTAAGAAAACACTTGCAGGTCGCCTTGTGTGTTCTCTTGGTTAGCATTGTATAACCAGTAGGACACAGTTGCCAGGGCCCTAATCGAATTATTTATTTGTACTTAATAAGTTTCTAATATTTTTTTAAATTGATCTCTGCCTCCTGAATTTGTATTGAACACGCATGGAATAAGAGAGGCCACTTATTCGAACAGATGGATGGATGGATGCATGCATGGATGGATGGATGAATGGAAAACAAACAAAGTACAAATGGATTGATGGATGGATGTGAAACAAAGAGGAAGTAATAATGGATGGATGGATGGATGATGGGAAACAAGAAGGAAGTACAAATGGTAGGATGGATAGATGGATGGATGGTTGGATGGAAGGAAAACAAGAAGAAAGTAGAAATGGATAGATAGATGGTTGGATGTGAAACAAGTATAAAGTACAAATTGATGGATGGATGGATAGTTGAATGAATGGGAAACAAGGAGGAAGTATGAATGTATAGATGGATGGATGGAAAAATGGATGGGAATATACTGTTTTTATTTCATCCCTCACACATTACAAACATGATCACCACCTTCATTGGCCTTTGTGTAAGCAAGACATTACATTTAACCTTTTCAGGCATCAGGCTAAATTTAAAACTTCATAGAGTTTGATATATTATGTTATAAGTGTAACTGGCATCTATAGTTCCATAACTAGGTTATAAAGTCTCCCTAAATGAGATTATGTTTCCCTTTTCCAGGAGAGCATCTCCGCATCTGCCCGCAAGGTTACACCTGCTGCACCAGTGCCATGGAGGAAACGCTGTCGAACCTGAGCCGCAGAGAATTTGAAGGCCTGGTCAGAGAAGCAGGACGATCTATTCAAGCTTTGCTCAATGCTCAGTACAGAACCTTTGACAGTGAGTCAACAGCTCTTTTTGGGTTTTGAGATCAAATGGTTTTCAGGGAACCTCACCTTTTAAGTTGTCATTTCTCCACCCAGAGTGTCAAGTTAAAGAAAAACAAAGTAGCAACTACAGCAGCTCAAAGCGGAAATGAGATTTAGGGGTTTTACAGTGTGCTTGTACGGTCACGAATGGCTGTCTTATCCAGAGCAGCCGTTTACCAAACTTCATCTGCTTTTACTTAACATTTTTTCTTTTTACCCGTCTGCAGATTTAACGGCATCAGGGTTAATGAATGTGTAGGGTTAAAGAGTTGCAGCACTCTGAAGTCCAAACTCTCTCCTGGTTTGTGTCATTGTAAGCTTAGATAAAAGGAAAACTCTGTAGCTCATATGCTTTCGCACCAAGTGGTCCTTCGCTAGGCAATTACAGTGGGCTTTTATGGCCTTTTACTGCAGTGCACCATTTAGGAATGATAAACTATAGTGACGCTCAATAATGATAACAGATTTTGATGCAGCTGTTGGAGTTCCTTACTCTAATCAGACACTTCCTGCAAGTCCCCAACAAACTGTTTACAGGCTATAAGTAACTTTGCAAGTATGTCCGCTTATTCTTCGAACTCTAAACTGCATCCTGACAGTACACTAATACTCTAATGAGAGTTAGTAGTTGCCAACAGGATACCTAACTAAGATTCATTTGGTTATTAGTATTCTTCTGTGAAAAGTGACTTCTTTTTTTATCCTTTCAGCATATTTCCTGGAACTCCTGAATGGCTCAGAACGGTGGTTAGAAGAGGCTTTTGTGGCTGCACTTGGAGAACTGTATCGACTGAATGCAGGAGTGTTTCGTGACCTCTATGCCGAACTGCATCGATATTACAGTGGTGCTTCCCTGAATCTCGAGGAGGCCTTGGATGAGTTCTGGATGAAGCTCCTGGAGCGACTTCTGAAGGCGTCTGACCCTGAAACTGCCTCCCTGCTCTCTGATGACTTCCTTGATTGTGCCTCCAAGCAGACCGAGACCCTGCGTCCTTTTGGAGATGCTCCACGGGAACTAAAGGCCAAGCTGGTGCGGGCATTCATTGCGGCTCGGGCATTCGTCCAGGGCCTTAACGCAGCTGGAGAGATTGTACGGAAGGTGTCTCAGGTACAGCAGATTTTTTTTCTTTTTTAGAATGCTGTGATGTAGTGGTTAATGCCTAGGGCTGGTAACCGGAAGGTTGTCGGTTTGATCCCCACAAGATGCATGCCCTGTGCCAAGACCATGCTGCCTTTGAGCAAGGCAATTAATTCCAGAATGCTCCAGGGTGAAGGGCGGCATTCAAGCATGAAAGTTAAAAACAAGGGTTCGACTAAATAAGTTAAAAATAAATTCCCAAGAGTTGATAAGACCAATATTTCCAGTCCCTACTAGCATTGAACAAAGTGAAGATAGATTTGCATCTTCTTAGCAAAGCTTCTGCAAATTGGAAATTGGGCTATTTAGGAGCTGAAAGTTTAGTGTCTAAATTTCTTGACTTATTTTGTCCTGCATGCTGTAAGATTAATAACCTAAGAGTTGTCCTAAAAAGCCCTGGAATAGCCATATACTGACATCAATATTTTCTAATGTGTTTTCCAGGGTGGATTTTTGGGTTTAAGTTTGCACCAAATATAGTGCTTCACTTGAATGTCTTAAGGTTTAGCTAAGGTATCATCAGACCAGGGATTCTCCCTCAAGCCTTTGACAAGCCTTTTGGGCAAATACCAGCAAAGAAATGATAACAAAGATTTCCTTCTTGCACCTTTATGAACCAGATTTATGAAGTGTTTCTGTTCTTGGCATGATATTGATGCCTCATGAGTCTCTTAAATGTATGTTGTGTATAAGTGTAACACTTTAGTGTTGCCAAACCCTTCTTGTCCAGACACCCAATTCTGGAGGAAGTTCAATTCTCACCTTTATAATGACAAACCTCACAGTGCTTCAAGGTATATTTAATATGTTTTATATCCTTGCCCTGACTAGTATTTTTCAAGAACTTGCTGCAGATCTGCTAATAATGATCCTTGGGTTCTGTGGTAGGGTGTTGCCTTGGAAATGAAGTGTGTATTATCCTAGACACAGGTGTGTTTGACATTAGACTTATACAGAAATGGAAAAAATGTTCAGTGAATCATTGTTCCTTGGTGTAACACTGATCTTCAGAGAAAGCCCAGAGACACAAACATTTGTGGCTATTGTTCTTTGAGTTGATGTGCCTATATGTATAAAACTACAAATACTTTTCAATGTCACTACATTTGTGGGAGGTCTGGTTGCACTAGAATGGTGCAATACCTTCATGTGCCCTAGCTGGCTAGCAAGTCAATCAAAAAAATCATCAATAATGGATCAATGACATCAAGGCAAATGGCTAAACAATAGCTTCACAGATGATGTTGGCTCCGAATCTGCACAAGAAAAATTAGTCCAAGTCCTTAGTGACTACCCTTCCCTTCCCAACTACTCCCTGCTGCTTTGACAAATGAAAGTAGGGCACAATGGTACCTCTCTGTTCGTTAAGGAATTTCTTACAGAATTGGAATCTTGGTCTCCCGCTGCCAAACTCTCGAGAGATTCCTGCTAAGAAGACCTAAATTTTTGCTGATGTTGGGAATAGATCAGTTCAGAATATTGCGTGCCTTGTAAAAAAAATTATTTTATGTTGACATCTGTAAAATCTGAATTCCACTGCATGGCACGTTCATAGGGATTAGCATTCAACATGAATACGTTTAGTCATGGCCATATTCAAGTTTGTTGAGCAGCGTGACAGGTTCACATTCTGTCAGAATAAAGCGATTCAACTGAAGATGCCTTCAGCTAATATACAAGCATGATTACTCTGCCCTCCATACCTGGCTTTCCCAAAAGACTTCAAAGTTTGAAGTAGATGACCTGAATCAACATGCAGGTAATAAGCAGGTACAATTCAGTAAATCAAGCTAACTCGCATCTAGTGTGTTTACCAGTGCTCTTATTTCAACTTCCAGTGTTTTTTTTTATCAGGACAGCTTTCCTGAAGATATACTGAGTTAATTGCCTTGCTCACTGATAAATGCCATGGTTACTGTTTAACTTAATATTGTTATCTTAAAAAAAATGAACCCTTGGCAATGGTCACTCTTTCCACAGGTCCCACTGAGTCCAGAGTGCAATCGTGCCATTATGAAACTGGTGTACTGCCCTCATTGCAGAGGTCTGGGATCAGTCAAACCTTGCATTAACTACTGCAAAAATGTGATGAAGGGCTGCCTGGCTAATCAGGCTGACCTGGACACTGAGTGGCAGAGCCTCATAGGTAGGGCTTATAACACTAGAACTCTTAAGGCTGGTTTATACTTCTGCGTCGAGTGATTGTCGTGACCCAGGGTGCCTGCCTAGCATGTAGTCATGCATTTATACTTCTGCGCGCTGTGTTGCTCTGCAGTAAAACTTCCAAAACGCTAGCTAGCAGTAGGTTTTTATGATCCTGTGTCGAGTTTCTTCATGGAGATTTTTCTGAACGCTACCTTAATGTACATGTAGCCACATCTTGCTTATTTAGAGGCGGAAACCGGCGTACGTGCAACAACATTAATCATAAGGTGAACGCAAAACTTTTCAGCTGGTGCCCCTTCACAGGACTCAACACTTGTAAACATTGGCTCCATGGAGCTCGTAGCTCCACACTCGTCACAGCTACCAAGCCTACCAATCACACAGCTTGCGTTGTTGCGATGTGTAGTTAAATTTTTTGAGAGGTGCATGTCAGCATCGGCATTAGCCACGGCAAGGGCTATGTGACCGTGCGAAGGCTGCACCCGAGCATACATGTGCGCTTGATGCAGAAGTATAAATCAGCCTTTTTTTTTATTGCTTTGTAAAAACTACAATTACAATGTTGACAGAAATTGGAAAAGACACAAATTTATTCACCCTCTATCTCGGTCAGAAACCATGCTACAGGTGGCCTCCAGTTTTGGTGCCGAGCCCAGTATGGACACGGTGATCTATTCAATTCCTGTGAGAATCTCTGAAGCTGTCCTCGCCATGCAGGAGAACATGGAGATCTATACCAGCAAGGTTAGGTCACTGAAATTAAGCGTCTATTTTAATCTTGTGCGAGTTTGTTAGATTTGATTGCACTCGAGGTGTCCGTTTAGAGATTTATCGATCACGCAAGCATCATTTGTACAAATGTACACGTACGCTTGTGTTGTATTTCAGGTTTTTAAGGCCTGTGGGGACCGTGGTGAGGAAGGCACACCAAGTTCAATATCTGAGGAGCCAAAAAAGAAAGAAAGCACAGTGACTGCTCTGGAATACAAACCCAGCCCTAAGTCTGCAGCCAGACTGGAGGTCCAGGTGTGTGAATGTGTGGCTGCGTCCACTTCTAAACATTTCTATGAGTTTATACAATATTTTTTAAACATCTGTGCAATTCCCAGGTCACGGATGTGTACAGCAAACTCAAGGAAATGCAGCTTTACTGGATCCAACTTCCTTCGGCTTTGTGCAGTGGTAAAACGGCATCTTCAACTACTGGTGACAAATGCTGGAATGGCATCACCAAAGCCAGGTATTACATGGAAATTCTTTTAACTCTACAATGATAGGTGTGTATTCAGCCGGTCGGTATGTGTAACTTGCAGTTAATTTTTATATAATCTACACAAATGTATGCACTTCTCAAGGCTAAATAGGTGTGCAGGATTTTGATGGATGACTTTTAGGATGAATGCACATTATGAATTTATAGATCGTTACTCATGGTCAGTGCTGGCGGACGTCTCAAAGCTGCATCCCTCCCTCTTTTTGCGGCCAAAGTCGTTAAATTGATTGTTTGGCAATCACTGCCACAGAACTGAACTCCCATTGCTCAAAGTCATCAGAAGTAATTAATCACTGGATGTGGTTTAGATGTGCGTTCATGTGAGAAGATTTTAACAAGTATGGCCAAAAAAGCTTTATTTTTAGTCACTGCTGATATCTATTAGCTCTATGCTCTACATAACCAAATTAGCAATCTTGTGGGGGTAGTTTATACATACTAGTGTGTGATTAGGGATGTTTGCAAACACAAGTATCCCTATTACTATTGCTAGCTACGGTTTATACAGATAATGAAATGCAGGCACATGAGCTAAATCTAAAAACTAGAATAACACAGAAACTTAGAAACAAACACCCTAGCAACCACATAGCAAACCGGTCAGATGCTAAAGCATAATAAAATAATAATGCAAAATACAAAAAACATTGCATAGCAACCACCCAGAACAACCTAGCAACCACACAGAAATGCATTAAAACCCTCAGAATCTTTAGCAACATGCTAAAAAATAATCAATAAACAACTTAGCTACATGTTCAAAACAGTTATTTTTGACTGTCACTATGTTAGCATGACACTATAATCCATTTTGTTCTACCAGTATGCATTTAATTTCAGTTTAAGTCTATAAATTGTGAAAAAAAAAATCCAAGAAGCAGGAACAAAATGTGCGTGACTGAAATGGTTGTGGAAATTGATTTTTTTTTTTTTCTGCAGTTACCTCCCAGAGGTCATGGGTGATGGGCTGGCCAATCAGATTAATAACCCAGAGGTGGAGATCGACATCACTAAGCCTGACAGGACAATACGTCAACAGATCATGCTGCTGAAGATCATGTCTAACCGCCTGAAAAACGCCCTCGAAGGCAATGATGTGGATTTCCAAGATACAAGTACGTACAGTAGCTACAAACTGCTTAGTGCTAACTAAGGCCCCATATACACTTAGTGTTAAGATAGTTTCATCAATCTGATCTAAAGGGGAAAGTTCTAAAAGCAGGTGAAGATGCATTTTAGTTAGTGTGATCCAAAGTGGAGCACATTAATATAAGATCTAAAACATTTTGAGCTTGCTCACTTTTGACCAATACTGCATTATATACCCCTAATATTTAGATGTGTCCTTAGATAAATTTGATACAAAATAGATGACACTAATTATAAGTATAAAGAGGGTCAGAAACTTGAGCCTGTTCACCTTTAACACTGTGACCTATTTACCCTTGATATTAAGATGTATTTTTTGTAAATGCAGACACAAGAGTAAAACTCTAACCAGGAGCAAATGGGGTCCTACAGGGCTATTTACACAATGTTTTCAGACAAAAACAGGAAACTTTATATACACTTTGCTGGTTTGTTTACATGGCTAGATGCGTAAACGTCGATCATTTTAAAAACAGTCATGTAGACGTAAAACTTTTTCAAAACTTAAGGGAAAAACTTTTTTATTTAGGCTACATTACTGTCATGTAAACCCAATACCAATTCTATTTTTGTGCCCCTACCCCTTCCACTTAACCATTGAAACAAAGTGTGATGAATAGTTAAAATTTACTCCTAAGAAATGGGACACCACTACAACACCTGCACACATCATCCTATGTCATCGCAATCTCTTGCTTTATATGAGATCGACGATCACGACTACTGTAGTTATTCCACTTTTGTTATTTTTTGGTATTTATCTTCAGGGAATCACTTAAGGCATATATCATGTCATCATAACAATCTAATGTGGCTATAAGATTGTAACTGTACTGTGTATTTACACCTTAGACATATTTATCTATGTAAACTAACACAAAAACAACATTAACATTATAGCAGACACTGTAAAAAGCTCATTTCCAGCCACTAGACTTTTCTGACAGGGTATTCGAGTGTCATCGAGTGTCCGAATGTTGTGGGACTGCTATACAAGAGTTACTACTATGAATTGTAGATAGCGAAATTTAGCGCTTTTTATTTTAGCGTTTGTCATTTAAAGCATAATGGTAAAACACAAAAGCGGATATGAATGTATTAAATCATTTGCTTGTTTATTGTAAAAATTAGTAATAATGACAAAAAAAATTCTAATTTGTGGATCTCCTTACTTCCGTGTGCAGCCATACTGTCTTTGTAGATAGTGTATTCTGGACAATTTTGGTATCCCTTGGTTTCGAGTGAGGTCCTAAAAATTCTATTTAAGACTTGGGATTGGGCCTTATTCACTAGAGGTCTAACAAAATACCAATGCCATGGTTTGGTCCAGTTCATAGTATTGGAGCCTTGATACAATTTGATTTGGTGTGGGAGCAACGTTTATGATTTGGCATGGGCAAAGCAAAGGAACACTAGTTAATTGGGTAAACAAAATTATCCATAGTGTACGAGTGCGTGTGTGAATGTGAGTGTATGGGTGTTTCCCAGTATTGTGTTGCGGCTGGAAGGGCATCCGCTGTGTAAAACAGGCTGAAATAGTGGGTGGTTCATTCCGCTGTGGCGAGTGATAAAAAAAAAACTAAGCCAAAGTAAAAAAATTAATTGATGAGTTTCAATTTTGCTACACTGTACACCACTTTGGTGTGTTTACATTTGCAGTTTTGTCTATTTAATTCCAATTTAACACAATTCACTATTTAATTACAAGTGAAATATTCTAAATGTGATACATGTGTAAACAGTGTCCAAAACATTATGTTTGTTCTACTTCTGTCTCTATATATAGCACTATTATAAGGTTGGGTGGTCTTTGCAATAGTGATTTTTGTCTCGAAGCGTAATGCAATTTCAAGCAAATTAGATACTGCATAGCAATCATTATGTCTGTAGCCTATTTACCAAAGTAATCATGATGTTTTTCTATAATGTGTTTCTAGGTGATGATTTCAGTGGCTCGGGAAGCGGCATGTGTGCGGATCACCTGTGTGTTCGTGGTCGACCTCCGGTTTTTGGGCCGAAAACGGACAGGCCCAAACTCTATGCCACTGGGCCTGAAAACAAAAGAGTCAAAGGATCCGGGAACCAGATTCAGCCTTCTTTCATTTTACTGATTGTGTTCTTTGTGAGTCTATTGCTCAGACGATAATGGAGATGCTAAATTGAACTTTGGGTTCTGGGTCAGGAAATTTGGATTATGACCAGGAATGTTGAGGAAAAATTGAGAAAGTGGGAACAGGTGAGTGTAATCAAAATTGCCAAAAGAAAAAAAAGGAAGCATTTTGAGTGAAAGGACATTTTAATTCCTTTGGAATAGGTTGGAAAGGAATTGCTTTTGTGTTTTTTTTTATGTTTTGTAATATACGTCAGATTTGAGTGCTGACTTGTTGCATCAATCGTCACATTGCTTTTTTTTACCTTTGAATGTAAACAGATGGACAGGAGGAATGCTGGTTTAGAGATACAATATGAGCTTCTTGAAAACATAAGTGACTTACCCACCCACAGTTCTTTGCTATTAAAGTCACAGTCAACAAGTCACCCCCAACAAGTCATTTCACCATGCTTGAGTTACGCAAGTTTGTTTTTGCACAACTGTACATTTTAAATATGTCACAGATGGACATTGTTACAAAGTACTGCATCAGTCAGATCCCTTTTAGATTACAAAATGTATGAACTTTGGCATGGACATGGATTGAAATATGGAACTGCTGAGTATCTAAGGAGTTATGTAATGGTGTTTTTTTTTTTAAACTGTGATTCATTTGGTTGGGTCTAATTTTGTATAATGGCAAGCTGTGATAATGGGTGAATTTCATTAAATAGAAGAAATGTCCATTTATTTCACACTAACATCAAAAAACAAAAAAATAAACGTTTTTTCTTTGTTGCATAAAAGAAAATAGAGCATTTTTAGGGCTAATAAAAATGTTTCCATATTTTTTAGGTAAATATCTGTGTTTACATAAAAAAAAATGTAAATAACTGCAACAAGTGTGATATTTTGTTTATACAACAGTTTGACGGCATAATTGTGTTTATAAAAGGACACGACTTACTTTCTTCCGGCATTCATTGACATCTGCAGCTGATGTCAGAACAGCAGAAACCATTGCTGCTTCACAAACGTCACTTTCAAGCTAGTATTTGAATGATTCTCTAGCGTAATGTCTAAAGTGATGACAAAAGGGGTAATTTTTGCTCACATTTTTAGGTTATAAGGCTGAACGGCATGAAATGCCATCAGTCTACAGAGATTTCCCAGTATTTCTCAGTTGCAATCAGGATTACACAGTAATTAAACCCGAAAAAAAAAAAAAAGCAAAGCAAACACTACTAGTTTTAATACATAAATATATACAGCACTACAAAATACAAAAGACAGCGATCGACTTAGAATGTCACTTTCCCGATGTATAATGATTTGTTCAGCTGTAGTTTAAACTTGTGCTGAGAAAATGCTGTTCTCCTCCCCTAAGGACTCATTATGCAGTCTCTGTCGCCAAATTGTGGCGGAACGTCAACCTTCACTTTCTTTGGTCTGCTCAGACAGGCTGATGGCAGTCGATGCACTGAATCCGATTATCCAAAATTATAAATACTTTTTAAAAAGCACTATCCTTATAAATAAACTGCATAGTTGCAATCTAAACAACTAGATTCTTGACTAAAAAAGTCTCAAAAGTACATTATGTTGTCCAACAGCAGCAATATTTGTCATACTGTAGAGTATCCTCTGCTTTTCTCTGTATGTAGGCGAAGTAATACGCAAGAGTTAAGGGGCGGTACAAGTTATTTGCAGAATATCGCACTGCTATCAGCTAATTAGATTCAAGAACCAGACAGAACTGTTGTGTGTGTGTGTGTATATATAAATATAAATATATATATATATATATATATATATATATATATATATATATATATATATATATATATATATGAACATTAAAAAAACAAAAAAAATATTGATATAATAATTTCATAATTATACCTTCACAACATTTCAATATATAATGTCTAGTATATCATAATACGTAATTTCTGGAATACTTTCTTTTTATTTTCATTACAAATAGAATGCAAAAAGAAAAAATTATATTAATTCATTCATTTTAAAAATGCTCTATTTTTTACGCAATATTTGTTTGTTTTTGATTTAGCTGTGAAATATGTCCAGGACATGAGAAATCGTGAATGCAAAACACTTGACATTCAACAGACAACAACAACAAAAAAAGCACAAAATACTTGCTTCACTTAATCCCATGCAAACCATAAATTTTGAAAACTGATGGATGCGTTACAACTCAGAACGATGCTAAATTATATTAGTAATGTCACTTTTTGAATACTTTCAGCATCGATGCCAAGTTAAACAGAAGCATGTGTCAACCCTGAATGAACCAATTTGCTATGAATGAAATTTCATTACAGCCAAAGCTAATGGGAAGCAGTCATTTATAGAATGTACCATTTTAAAATGCCAAGTGTCACTTTTGATTAAAATACAGTTTGTGACTTTCCAGAGCAATATGATTAAATCAAATGGCACAGATATTTTAACTACTGGTCAAAAGTTGTTTTTTAGGGCCTAATCTGCTTATTTATTTGATCAAAAATAGTGAAACTATTAAATAACATTACAATTTTAGATAACTAATTTCTTATTGCAGTTTAAATTGTTCATAAATAATAATTTGCTGATCTGATGTTCTATTATGATAATATTTCAATAATTATTGGCATTAAATCATAAACAAATTATTCCTGCTTCAGTTTAGTAGAAACTGTAATACATTTGACTTTTTAAGATTCTTTTAGTGAAAAGAAAGTTAGAAATAACAGCATTTATTTGAAATAAATGACTTTAATTTCCCTCTTGAACCTTTAAATGTGTCCTTGATGAATAAAAGTGAATACATGTTTAATGCATATTATAAGTAGGATTTCTGAAGGATCGTGTGACACTGAAGACTGGAGTATTGATGCTTTAGAACTACATTTAATATGAAAACATTTCAGATTTGACTGTTTTTCTAATATTTTCATATATTTTATGAAAAAGGATAGGCTTCTTTTAAAACCTTTTGACTGGTAGTGTACATGTGCATCTTGCAATTAAAGTGTCAAATGATCTTCATATTTCTATTAATTGTTTTTAATGACTCTTCCTTTCTCGGTGCACAACTATTGTTCAATCCACAAGGCTGTGGAAATGTAAACATAGTGGAATGTAAACGCAGTCGAAAAATGTATGCAGTCTTTGTCCCGAGATGCTTGTTTTTTGTACTTGGTTCGATCCCTCCAGGATTTTATTTCGATTATTAGGCAAATTTTGTGTCAAATTTTGCGGAATTTCTTTTATTATTTTGTTGTGGAAATAAACAGAAATGTACACATCTTAATTCTTTATTATAAATTTGACCTTGAGAATAATTGATCTCTGTAATTTGTATAAAGAAAACACTGAGAAAAAAGAAAGCAAAACTAGAGTTTACCCCTAAAACTTGCTGTATCAAATGAAAGTGAAACCAATTTTCCGCTGTGGCAACCTCTGAAATAGAGACTAAGCCGAAAGAAAACAAATGAATGAATAAACTCTAAGTCGAATGAAAGCTATAAGAACACATTGATAAAAATGATCTCGTGTGTGCGTTTTGTTCGTATGGATTTGATACAACTCATGTGGTCTATTTCAAACAAGCTCTGAATTCACATTACAATACCATCATGTGACGTGGAGTACACATCGTATGAGAAGCGTATATTGACAATTCGAGGTTTTGCACACTGGACGAGCACAATCGATTTGTGAATACTATATTATTTGTGAATATAAAACTATGCAGACGATGCTCTGTTTCGTGGCGGGAATTTAAACAGTGCCCTGACAACTTTGCTTAATTTTGGGTAAAATTTGCCGATTGTGAAATCCTGGAGGGTCTGTCGGTTGTACAGTATAAATAAAAAGCACATTGTAAACTCTTGACAGGACTCAACGAGCGGACAGTGAGAAGGGCTCAAACACAAGATGATTCGAGAGACCTTTGATTTTGTTCTATTTCTGCATTAGCGTTTTATTTGAGGTCTGACTTTGTAAATTTGCTCTGTTTTATGTAATAAACATGCACAGTTGTTTGAAGGAAATGGACGTTGTGTGTCTTTCGAGTTGTTTTGCATCCATTTGAAGTGTCTTTTGGTCTCCGTCTTTTCATGAGATGTAAATGTGATGCTGTGGGTTTTGATGTTAATGTAGTACCGCACTTTAAATGAAGCTGTAGTTTTCGTTGGGGTCGTATTCTTGTATTTCTGGACTGATGCTGGGGTGGATGGGGTTGGCTTTGGCATCTTTGGGTGACGACGATGAACGTGGTCTGTTGGGTTCAATTCTTCCACTGTTGCTTTTTCCATTGACCACTTGAAAGATAAAAAAAAAAAGAAACGTGTTACATATTAGTTCACTGATTTATTTGCTAATTAAAGATGAGACATTTTCTCTATTTATAGAGAAATATTGATATTTTCATAAAATCATACATTTTATTTATAAAAATATGTAATGCCATTTTATAAATTTAGATTTTTCTTAAAATGAATAGATAAGTGTTTAAAAAGAAATTTATAAATAATAATCTTTTATTATTTATTATATTCTAATCCTTTTTTGTACATTTTTTAGCCACAAAAAACAACTGAATAATTATAAATATGAATACATATAATTTCGTATAAATCGATTTGTACTTTCACAAAAAACAAAATGTGTCCAAACAGGTTTATTTTTCCATAATGCAAAAAATCCTTAAAAAACACTTGAAAAAAAAAAAGATATTTTATTAATCCATAGGTAGATAATTAGGTATCAATATGAATATATTTTTATTGTAAAGCTTTTGAATTAAGTTTACTGTAAAAGTTTTTTAGGTTTTTACGCGTATTTTATTATATAAGAATATTTTTAATTAATACATTAATATATAATTAATTCATACACATTTAGGTTTGTTTTTTTACTTCAATTTTAATGTTCATTACTTTATGTTTATCTGATTATTTTCCATTTAGATGTTTTGTGCTGTCTGTGGAGCATCAGTTTCTCATGTACTAGACAGACAGATCCTCCAGGGCTCCTGATGACCCTTGGTGTGTTTCTCATTTGTTCTGCCGTGGCCTCACAGACTCTTCCTCAATCACTGTTGTTCCTGCACTCTTCATCTTAGAGGAGAGCATTTCTCATCTCATTCTCCAAATCCCACAGGATTTTCTGTCTGTTTTCAAAACAAATCCTTCGCTCTTTTGCTACCGCTCAGCTTCTCAGACTTTTCAGCTTCATACAGACCAACTATGTGCTTCGCAGATCAGAATCTAAGCAAAACTTTTCAAATGTTTTGAATATAAAAACTATGAATAGGTTTAACTGCTGATAAAAAAATATGTTTGTGTTTTAATTGTAACAATCTATTGATAATTTAATGGCCTATATGGCTATTTGTTATTATTTTTAATTCACTTTTGGATGGCACATTTTAAATGCAAGTTACAGTGATTAGTTTTTGTAAAAACCTTTGACAGAAACTTCTCAGCTTTTTATGTATCGTCCTTTTTACCAGTAATATACACAGTAATTTCCACAGTATTTTCAATATACACTTGTGGTGGTAGCCAGATTGAAACACAAAATTTACCCACATCACATAAATAAGCTAACTAAATGCGACAAAAAAAACATAATTTAAATTTTTAACAATAATTCTGTTTATTATGACACTGTTATACACCATTTCTCACAATGGGTTAAAGTAGAAAGACTGTTGAAATAAAAAAAGAAATCCACTATTCAGTAGCCATGTGCACCCACTGACAAGTAAAACCTGCTTCTCTTTCTCTTTGAAGTTTAATGCGAACTTGAATGCCAAAGCATTTTAGAAATGTATATAAAGTAGCCTTTGTAATATACTGACATCATCAAATTAATAAAATATACAGCAAATGAGAAATAAAAGACAGTAAATTATTTAATGTGATGATTAACCAATATGTTGTACATATATTTTGCAGCCAGTTTAGACCAGTCATTTCATCCTTTCCGAGTACATAGTAAAGTTTCTCTGAGTCGTTTAGATTAAAGAATGAGTTACTTAATGTTTCTCTAGCGCTTGCGACTTTGCACGCGCAGTCATCTACGAAGCCAATCGAAAGTAGACTTAAGTAAAAAGCTAAAGCAAAAATGCAAATGAATAACGACAGCATTAAGCAGAGAAAGCAAAAGTCGAATCCCAGACATTTTAGGAGATTTAGAAACCCTGGCCAGGGGTGTGTTTCCGAAAACCATCGTTAGCCAACTAAGGTCGCAAGTTCCATCATTACAAACATAGTTAGTTGATTTAGTGTTTCTCAAATCCATCATTCCAACTAACAAGTTAAGCATAGTTTCTAGTTGTTTTCTATTCCCAGTTATCCCCCCTATGCCCTTTTCATTTAGAACATTCCAATATTTAAAATCGGAATGATTTTTAAAAAGAAACATTAAGTTCTACTCTCTTAGGTGTAATTAGCGTTCAAGGGATTTTTACAGTTTAGTTTTAGCGATCACCCTGTTGACAATTGCACTCTCGTAGTGTCACTAAATATACTTGGGCGGCCGTTAATATACCCGACCAAGTAAAGTTTATGTGTGAGGGGCACATATATACCCTTTGAATTTCCTTTTTTTTTTTTTTATTTCCCAAATGATGTTTAACAGAGCAAGGACATTTTCACAGCATGTCTGATAGTATTATGTCTTTTGCAGAAAGTCCTATTTGTTTTTATTTAGGCTAGAATAAAAGCAGTTATTAATTTTTAACACCATTTTAAGGACAAAATTATTAATCTTTAGATAATTTTTTTTCGACTGTCTACAGGACAAACCATCGTTATACAATAACTTGCCTAATTACCTTAACCTGCCTAGTTAACCTAATTAACCTAGTTAAATGTCAATTTAAGCTATATAGAGGTGTCTTAAAAAATATCTAGTAAAATATTATTTACTGTCATCATGGCAAAGATAAAATAAATCAGTTATTAAAGATGAGTTATTAAAACTATTATGTTTAGAAATGTGTTGAAAAATCTTCTCTTCGTTAAACAGAAATTGGGGAAAAAAAATAAACAGGGGGTCTAATAATTCTGACTTCTGATATATATATATATAACAACCTCTCTTTTATATATTCTCTAAAAACCGACTCTTTTTACGAAAATCTCTTTCAACCTATTTCCAGTCATGTTTCATAATCTTCATTATTTAGCACACTGTGCCAAAAAAATGTGATGCATGTATATTGACTTTATTTCGGTACCAACAGGTAAATTTTCTAGTAATTGACACATTTTTATAGAAATTGTACTAAACAGTTATGCTAAATTTTCCATCATTATATCAGTTATAAAGTGAACATGAATATTGAATTTTTTTTTAAATATGCATGTATATAAATTACCAAAATATGCTACGCTATCTAAACTGCTGCTACATTATCTGTCTAATATAAAATAAATTCTGAAAGAAGATGATTAAACTTATATACACACAATATATATGTTTATATTAACCATTATGTATTAAAACATACACAATTTTCTGTTACATTACAAACGATATATAATGAAACTAAATTCTGCAGTGCATGTTTAACTCAGGATCTTCAGGGTTTCTTGTGTTTTGTGATGTACTGAGCACTAACACTGACCTGGCAGCCGCACACACTTTTCTCGATGGCGCTGTTCCCATGATCTGCCTCTGCAGGTGTTGCTGCAGTAATAGACTTCATGACAGCGGCTGCAGGCGGTCAGATGAACACCCACTGAACGACCACACTCCTCACAAAACCTCCACTTTCTGAAACACACACACACACACATTCAGTGTTTGAAGCAGCTGTCAAAAAGAGTCAGTGTGGTTTAGAGAGTCAGTGTGGAGTACCTGTGTGCTCTCTGTTTATTACAGGACATCCTACTGATGCTTTCAGGAGAGTTCAGGAGACTGGACGTCACTGCTGATCGACTGTACACAGACCTCTCTGAGGGACTTACACCTTCAACAGCACAACATAAATACATTACACTGATTTATACTATATATATATATATATATATATATATATATATATATATATATATATATATTTATATTTATATATATATATATATATTATAAACAGAGGTTGGACAATGAAACTGAAACGCATGGTTTTAGACAACAATAATTCATTAATATGGTGTATGGCCTCCTTTTGCAGCCAATATAGCATTCATTCATCTTGGGAATGACAGAGATACAAGTCCTCCACAGTGGCCAAAGGGATTTTGAGCCATTCTTCTTGCAGAATAGTGGCCAGGTCGCTACATAATGCTGACTGCAATGACATTTGCTGACTCGCTTCTACAAACCACCTCAAAGTGGCTCAATAATATTTGGTTAAAGTGACTGTGCAGGCCATGGGAAATGATCAACTTCACTTTCATGTTCATCAAACCACTCTGTCACCAGTCTTGCTTGTGTATTGGTGCATTATAATCATCCTGGTACATGGCACCACCTTCAGGATACAATGTTTGAACCATTGGGTGCACATGGTCCTCCAGAAAGGTTGTTCAAATTTAGCCATAAAAACTTCCAACGCTAAATTTGCCAGTGTTTCAGTTTCACTGTCCATATGCAAATACATACATTGACTACAGTTTTGGATCAATTTATTAGTAATTATATAATGTTTGTAGAATTTCCCATTTTTTAATATATAAAAATGTCATTTAGAATAGGTAATTAAAAAAAAAAAAGATCAATAAAAATTTATTCTTAAAAGATACATTTAAATTAGGTTGTATTTTATAACTTTTTTATAATTTTGCATTGTTCATTTAGCACATACTTATAAAAGATTATGATTTTTAAAATTATAAATGACCTTTCATTTTCTGTTGGTCGACAGTAGAGTTTTAAATATTTTAAATTAAAATTATCTAAACTTTTTGGTAATTTTTGAACGAGATGCTAATGGTCTAATCCGATTCCATGATTTATGCTAAGCTAAGCTTAAATTTACTCTTTTATTCTAAACTGTTGAACACAAAACAAGATATTCAGAAGAATGTCACTGACATCCAAAGTAGGAACAAAAAATACTGTAAAAGTCAATGGCTGATTTTATCAAACATTCTTCATTTTATCTTCCTCAGATTTGAATCAAGTGGAGGGTGAGGAAAGGAAGACTGAATTTTTTTTCTTAGCTGAACCGTTATGTTCTTCATAAATGTTGTAAAAATCGATTAAGCTTCTTGATTTAAATTATCTAAGCCATCTTTTTGATTACTAAAATGTATTTTATGTACTATTATAATAGAACCTAGATCTTTTTAAGAGGATAAAACAGAATCCGAAACAATGGAGATGAAAAAACAACAACAACAATAGTCTAGTCTCACCGAACTCATCCTGGCCTTGTTCCTCTTGCCCCCTGGAGGCGGTCTGTCTCATCAGATCTCCCATGAGTCCGAGCAGCTGCCGGCGGGCATTATAAACGTGCCTTTCGTGTTTGCTGAGGGCGTGATACGGGGTGCGGGACATGCGCCGGTTCTGAAGGGAAAGCAGAAGACCTCTGGTAAATGACTGAGGCGATAAATGAAGCTCTTTAAAATGAAGTGGCGATGAAAAGCTGCACCTGTTGGAATGTGATGTGTGCATAATCCACTACTGTTCCCATCGTACACCTGCGGCCATCGCAAACCATCACAGGCATGAGAACGTCAGCGCCTGCTTTCACTAGCTTATCCAGCTGGATTGAGACACACACACACACAAAGAGAGATGAGAACTTTATTTTTTTACAGTTTATTTGATTGGCAGGTTTATTATAATTCAGCCTGATACCGTGAGAATGTGAGACTCGATGTTTTCTGCAAAAACATTGAAATACAAAACAAGCCTTTTGTGTCAGACGTGTGATGTTCTTTTATTTCTATTTAATTAAATTGGAAAATAATGAATAAATAAAAAACATTACGAATGTAAACCAAGTAATCCTTTATGTTCAATATTTAAATTGCAGCTATTAATACATTAATTACTCGATCTTCATATGAATATTTGGAATAACAGCTGTATTTTTTATGTTATTATATTTACTTTCAAGAGTTCACACTTAGCTGATGATTGATTATAAAGCGTGTTTGACATGCTGTCCCGGTGGAGAGCCCTGAGCTAATAAGATCCTCGAGCCCGGGGCTTTTTCCCGTTTGCAAGGCGAGAGGGGAGTTTAAGCTCAGGTAGATCTCGAGAACTCCCCTGCTGTAGTAGCTAATGAACAGATAGTGATTGCTCTTAGGAGATAACTACTTACTAGGAGCATTTCTATGGTGCAGATTTGGACTAGTCAATTAATTTAAGTTGCACGGGGAGAACATAACTCCACACAGAAATGTCAGCTGGCTTTGTAAAGACTACAACCAGTGAAGTTCTTGCTGTGAGGCAACAGTGCTGACCACTGGGCCACCGTGCCAACCATCTAGGAAAGGAGGAGGAGTAGGGGTGGAAGGAGGGATTCTTCAAAACCAAGATGGCTGTTATATGGAACTTAGGGTATTTATAGTGGCTTAGGAATCGCCTGATTGGTGAATCTGAAATTGAATAATGGGGGACTGGCTGCAAGCAATCATAAGCATGTGATCCTCTCGAAATTAGTTTATAAATAAACTTCACTTAGTATTATGTATTTCAAATTAAAATACTGTATAAGTGCTATTGTTGGAGTCATTTTAAATGATACAATTTTAACCATTTTATTAAATCAATTAATATAAATAAAAATATGTTGATTAATATATTTTAAAACTATAAAAAATCAGAGATATCAGGGAGTAAAAAACAACTGATATATCGTCCGATTTTTTTAATATGAATATTATAGTACAGTACCAGTCAAAAGGACACTTAAGGACACTAAAGTCCAAACTTTTCCTTTTTCATTCATTCATTTTCCTTCAGCTTAGTCCCTTTATTCATCAGGGGTCGCCACAACAGAATGAACCGCCAACTTATCCAACATATGTTTTACACAGCGGATGTCGTTCCAGCTGCAACCAAGTACTAGGAAACATCCATACACACTCATTTACTGCTAGTTTATTCAATTCCCCTATAGCGCATGTCTTTGGACTGTGGGGGAAACTGGAGCAGCCAGAGTAAAGCCACGCAACTCCAAACTCCACACAAAAAAGGTCAGTATACAGTTATATTTGTTATTTTCATTGTTTTAAATTACATATTTCATACTTGTTAAATCAATATACGAATAAATAAATTTTCATTTTTACCTAGAATTAGTAAACGTTGTATGACGTTATACTGAAAATAATTTTTTCCAAACTACGTTTCATTTTAGATTCTAGATTTTCTATTCAGATATGTTCATTTTCTATAAAACAAAATATACATTTTACACATATGCACAGCCAAGTCTTTCTGATGAGTCCAGGATTGTTGTTTAGTAATTAAGTAGTTGATAGGTTAGTAGTTAGTCACCAGCTTGACATGGTTTCGCGGCTGCTGCTCGTGGTCATAGTTGATATTGGTGAGGGCACAGAGGGCACTGCCTATATGACGAGTGAGGGGAAGATTAACATCAGCCCCGGCAGACAACAGCTCATCCACAGCCTACAAAACACACACACACACACACACACACACACACACACACACAAATATACAGACATGCATATTGAGTTTTCATGTTTAATAAAGGTTTTTAATAAATTTAATTATTTTTATACTGTGTACACAGTACATTCTGTCCTTTTCCCAATTTCAACACTGACAGAAAATATTTTGCAGTTTTGCATTTTCAAATGACTTCATCCTGGATGATTTATGAGCTCTTTTCTTTATGGAGACTAAACATTATGACCCAACAAGGTCAAGATTTACAGGCACTACTATGCGTGTGTACTTAATGACTGCTGACTGGATTCTGATTATATTACACTGTAATGCAATTCATTCAGGTTGTCCCAACACAAATCGATTGAGTTAACTTAACAAACTGAACCAATTTAAACATGAAAGTTGTCCCAAAAAAAATCTCAAAAATTGTGTTGTTTGAGCTCATTTTGCACAAGTAGTTTGAACAAGCAGCGAAATCCTTTTTTAACTGCATGCTGTTCAAGGATTTTAGTGAAATGTAAGATCACTAGAATCACGTCAACCCTTTCATCTGAAGAATTTCAATGGGTTTAGACACACTCCGTGCAAAGAGCCCATAACAGCAGAATAGATGATGCAGTGATGTCAGAAAATACCACATACAAGGTGGTTGCCACTGGCGATGGCCAGAGACAAAGGTGAATGGCCACTCCAGACTTCATTGGGGCTCGCACAGTGAGAAAGGAGAAGCGCCACCACATCTCTAGCATTCTGGAAGACAAATAGGCATTGATTTTTAGACAACACAATACCAATGTTGTACATTTACATTTTATATTTAGTCAATTATCTAACAACTACTCACAAATGAAAATAATAAAAGCACTTTAGGTCACTAGAGAGCAGTGATATATAAATGCTATGACAAGTCAGTGTTACTTTAGTGGTGTGTTTTTTTAATTTTCTTATTTTTAAAATCAAACTAACAGGAAAAAACGCAAAGGAATAACTAGTGAGTACAGGTATGCACCAATATGGAGTGTTTGACCCATACTGATAACCGATATCTATAACCAATATTTAGTTTGTGGGCCAATAGTCAATATATTAGCCTTTTAGTATTATTAACGATGTATTAGCCTATTTCCTTCTCATTTTTCTGCATAATAGCAAAAACAAAAGACAAACACATACAGTAAACGATATATTGAGCATGCCTAAGTGATTGCTGTTGTTAGTCAGTTAAGTGTCGATGAAACAGAGGTGTCCTCAGATGTTTTAACTTCTGAAGAATTAAGAAATCGCTATTAGTTGGATTAACCCAGATTTTGATTTACAGATTTGTTATTCTGACCAATTGTTCATAAATGCTCTAAATAACATTATATTTATTTAAAACGTGGAAGAAATGTAATCAAACACTGCCAGAATACACTGCCAGAATAATACAAAAATCAACATTATACTGAATCCCATCCGTAATAAATCCAGTAAACCCAAATAAATGATTGCTTCTGAAAGGAAAACCTTTTTGAGTGTAAACGGAGATATACTGAAGACTACTGGAAACCAACAGTCATTGACTTTCATTATAGTACTTTCTGTTCCTACTATGAACATCAATGGCTGTTTTTTCCAATATTCTTCAGAAAATCATGTTTTGTGTTCAACAGAAAAAAAGAAACTCATAAAATTTAAGAACCGCTAGAGTGTGAGTAAAGGTAAAGGGTGTAAAGGGTGAGTAACGGTTTTCATTTATTTGTAAGTGAAATATCCCTTTAATAGTCGAAGTCATGTCTATGATGGCTAGATTACATCTTTTTTAGGCAATTCTCCTTTTTATTCTTCTAACATGCTACTTTTTGAAATGAGAATGAATCAAAAATGATTTTAAAACTAAATATTGTAACCTCACAGTATATTCTGAGTCTCTCTGACAGGCCACATGCAGTGCTGTCCTGCCACCTTCTTGAGAAAACTGGACATGAGCATCACTGAACTGGCAGACATGAGGATCCTCAAAGACCTGGAGGCAAATTTCTTTCATTAGTGTTTTGTTGAACACTTTTGCATAATAATAAATCACACAAAAGTAATGGTTTCCTCAAACCTGATCGAGCTGGAAGACCTCATTTTGGTCCAGTGCTTTGTGATTGGGGTCTGCCAGTGCGTGCAGGAGCAGCTCTGTGATTTCAGGACCCTCTGCTCCAAGCAGACCTGCTGCTATGTGAAGGGGATACAGACCCTTTTGCTGTCAAATACACAAAAACATCAATACATTAATTATTCTTATTGTTAATCTAATGATTCATTATATGGTTTTGTATGAATTCATAGTCAATATGTATGCAAAAAAGCATAATAATAATATTAATACATAAATTATACTTAAATAATACTTAAATTAATAAATATAAATATACTTTTTCCCTAATTTATCTGCATAATAGGAGAAAACTGAGACACAATAATAATAATAATAATAATAATAATAATAATAATAATAACAAGAATAATAATAATATTATAAAAAGCAAAAAAGCAACTACTCAGGAAATGAAGCAATGCATTAATAAATATGTAAGATAAAAAAGGCAAATTAAAACATTTGTTTAAATAATATTTATTTACATACTAATATTCTGTACATTTATTTTCATTTAAAAATAAAAAAATATAAATAAATAATAATAATAATAATAATAATAATAACAATAATAATAATAATAATAATAATAATAATAAAAACAAAATCACTTTTTATTCATCATTCATTAATGGATACAGTAAAAAAGAATGAAATGTTGTGGAAATCAAGTACTTAAATTATTTTAATTCATTTACATCATAAATGATACGGTTTTAAAAACTTTGGGTCAGAAAAAAATACTAATAATAGTAAATAATAAATACAAATAAAGTAACAACAATTAATATCTTATATATGGTTTTAAATTAATTCATTGTCAATATTTATGCATTTTGAAAATAATCAGTAATTAATGCATAAAATAAGACATTTTAATAAAATAAAATAAAATAAAATAAAATAAAATAAAATAAAATAAAATAAAATAAAATAAAATAAAATAAAATAAAATAAAATGGTACCTCTGGAGGGAGAGGAATGTCTGTACGAGCTCCGCATTCCAGCAGTCGCCGGACACTATTCACGTGAGCAGCTTTAATGGCCAGGAAGATCACAGGCACAGGGACAGTAGAGGAGTTCGGATCTGCTCCTCTTTCCAACAGAAGCTCAACTGTTGCCCACCGTTTACGATGCCTGACAAACCAAACGATCACCAGTTAATCACATATAAACAAAATATCAAATAACAATATTATTATATAGTGTTATTGCGTAATATTAGAATATATAAAAATACAAATATTACTGTCAGTAAATTTTGCATTGTTATTATTATTATTAATAATAGCAGTACCAGCAGTAATGGGAACAATGTGATAATCTATATAAATGTTTATTTTTAAATAATCAAAATCAACAAAAAAATATCCATATTAATATATAATATTATTATAATAATAATTGCATTTATTGAACAATTTTTGCTTTAGCAGTGGTAGTAATGAAATTAATAATTGTAATATAAATGTAAATATTACTTACAATGAAGTTTACCAAATAAATACTGAAATTATAATTACATAATTCTGTTATTTTAAAAATATAAATATGTTAAATTATATTGCTGTTATTTTGTTGTTGGTCTTTTAAATACCAATGAAAAAGTTTAATCTACATTTATTTATTGGGTAATTAATTATTTGATTTTAATAGTTGTATACAATACTAGTATATATTTATTTACTAGTATTTATTTGCTAGCAAAATACTTTTAGTTATCCAGTTCAAAATAAATAAATAGCTTTTTTTGACTGTTTGTTTGTTTTTGTTATAAAACAAGATATACACAGACATTTCTGTTTAAAACAATCGCCAATTAAAACCTTTTCTCTAGAAATGTATTTACTAACTCTGTCTTGAGCAGAGCGATTCTGCGAACAGTCTCCTGTGTGTCAGTGGGACTCAGCGTTTGCGTCAGGCTCAAGATCTCAGCGCTTTTCTGCAGGATCTCCTCTGTCACCTCGATCTGAAAACTCAACATAGAGCAGGCCGAGTTGAAATCCGGATCATCTGACCTGACACTACTCTCCAGATCTTCTTCTTTAATTGCTTCTTTCCACGAAACACAACCAACTGGGACCAAATCATCCAACACTTGAACAGATTGAGACCTGATGTTCTGCTCATTTTCGAGTTCAAGCAGAGTTTCCTTACGGATTAAGTCTGTATTTTTATCTATTTCCTCAGAGGTGTTGAGCTCATCCAGTTGAACAACCGTCTCGTTATCGTTGATTTTTCCATGCGCCTCAAGGTTTTCTGGTTCAAGACGTGGGTTAGTTTGGTTGGTCTCGGATGTCACTGGTTCTCTTTCATCTCTGGCTGTTTCTGTCACCGGATCTGGAGAAGATTCATGAGCGACGTCTTCCAGAGGCTTGATCTTCAGCGTAACGGACGGAAAAAACAGAAACAAAGCAGATTAAAAGTGTCTTTTTTCCTTCACCTCATGATGTTTTGCGTGAATTATGGGAGTAACTTCTGTTAAACTGTAAACAATCAGTAAATTGTTTTGTTTACTGGGTACAATGAGGTGTCATTATTCTCCTTATAGTTCATTCATAGAATTTGAAAAGGCAGTTCAGAATTAACAAATTACTTTAAGCACACTATGAATAACCCTAAAAAATATTATAGAGATAAATTAAAAATTAATGTACTGCAGGGTCGTACATTAGCTGGGTTAGCCTTCATATAATTACATGAACCAAATCTTTTTAAAGTTTTCAACAACAAGAAAAAACCCAATTAGGTTTGTTTCCATCAAGTTGTTAGAGCAGTCTGTTGTAGTATTGGTAACCTAGCAACCAAAAGTAAACAAGGCAAGCATAATGAAGTGGGTGTAATATTCACTAAGTCAGTGTTTATTCAGCAAATGCTATTTTATCTACTTTATTATTCACCCTAACCCTTTTTAGAACAAATAAAATGTGAAGTGAGCGTAAAAACTTTTTTTAATTAAATGATTTTTTTAATCAAAATCACATTTTTTTTATGTGATGCTTTTAAAATGCGCATTCTCCTCAATGTTTATCTACTGAATATGAAAAGACAGTTTGGAGTTAACAAATTTGTTTCATCCAATCATGAATAACTCGAAAAGCAATATAATGGATGTAAATTCAATATACTGAACTGTAGAAAAATAGCCAGTTTTCCATCCTACAATGAAGCAAATCTTTGTAAAGTGCACAAAAAAAACACATCTTAAATGCAAATTAGATGTTATTCCATTAAGTCGTTAGAGCAGTCTGTGGTAGTATTGGTAACCTAGCAACCAACAGTTAACAAGGCAAGGACAATGGGGTCACATCAGTGTAATATTCACTACGTCAGTGTTTATTCAGCAAATGTGTTTTCGTCTATTCTATTATCCACATGAACTCTTTTCAGCAAAATACAAATCTTTCTCAAGTGGGCATAAAAATATATTTTTAATTAAATGATTTTTAATCGCTATCTGGCACTTCCATCATCTGTTTTTTTTTTATGTGACACTTTAAAATGCACATTAACACAGGGTGATGGAAACCCAGCTTATGAGAAAATAATCTGAAGGAACAAAACGCAGTGCATTGCTTTGTTTTTTGATATATATTTCATTTTAAAATACCAAGAATTTTTTTATAAAATCCAAAAATATGTAGCACAAAAAGGTGGATAAGCAAATAAAATTCCCATAATGCACTAATGTATTATTTACCTGTGGTTCTGGGCTGATATTTCGAGGCACTTTCTCTGCAAGCGTCTCGTGTAAGGACTGAAGTGGGTAGTAGAGAAGCATACAGACGGCCAGAGCAGACATGCCTTCAGCATTCAGCTTATTAACATCAGCCCCATTGTCCAACAGCATGTTGATGACATCATCATGACAATAAACCTGCAATGCCAACCGACAAAGCTCATTTACATACCTCATTAAACAAGTTGTCTTGGGTGTTGTTGTTGTTGCTGAATATATGAAACTTGAGGTTTCCACATGATGATCTTTCACGACTGAAAAAGATAAAAGAAAAAGCAATGCTGCCCTCTGCTGGGAAGTTATGATTACTTTTTCTAATGACGGGAAAGAAAATGTTCAGCAACAAAATGTGATATAATAATAAAGTATCATTTTTTTATAAAATAAAATAAAATAAAATAATAAAACTTTAATATATATATATATTATTTATGTATTATATTTTGTTATTAAATTTTATCAGCAACTAAAATAAGTAAATATAATATAATATAATATAATATAATATAATATAATATAATATAATATAATATAATATAATATACATTCATAATTTTTGCATTATTTTGCATTTATAACAAAAAAGCATAAGAGAAGCATAAATAAAAAATGGAATTACATTAAAGACCAAGATTTAAAGCTAACTATCCTGTACAACAACAACTTTCTACTGGGTTTGATCACACAACAAAAGCTTACCGTTGCTGCTATGAGAGCTGTATGTCCTTTTGCATCGCTCACATTCGGATGAATTTCTCCATCTCTGAGGATTCGGTAAACATTCCTGCATTCGCCACGAGAAGCTTCCATGATCAGTCTCTCTGAGTTGAGCTCCAGCGGACCTTTGGGTCCAAACTGAGCCCTGTTCAAGTTCAGCACAGCAGCGACGTCCCAGTCTAAAGTTTCTGCCTCAAATCTGCAGGAGAAAAGGCGAGAAAAATATATGACAGCAATAAAGGTAATCTAGATAAAATAAAGTTAATTAAAACACAGTACTATTTAACTGAGATTAAATATAATAAATAAAATATAGGGTCAATAGTAATGCATTTTTAAAATAAAATTAAAATTAAATGCAAGCAATCTGCCATCTTCTGATAAATTATGAATAACCAACAACAACAGCAACAACAACAATAATAATAAATTTTAAATAATCAAATAATAAAATTTGGTAATTTAAGTTGATAATAATAAAAATAAATAAATAGGAATATTGTCAATATTTATACATTTATGCAATATAATTATAAAATAAAATAATAACTAATTAAAATAAAATAATAAAAAATGTGTTAACCCTAATGGGTTAATAAAGCTAAAAAACCTGCTAAAGTGAAAAGGTGATTTAATAAAATGTCGCTGTGTATAATTACATTTTTTTAAATAATGAAATGCATGTAAAAGTTGTGTAATTTTGTTGTATAAATGTTTGGTAATTTTGTAAAAGTGCTTTAAATAATATAAGATAAAATACTAAGCAGCAATATAAATTTATAAATAGGAAAATAATAATAAATATGAAACAAAGTTTTTTTAAATAATAATATTAATACTAAAAATAAAACACTAAATAAAACACTCTTACCTGTGTCTCTGTATGTGTGCATTCAGGCGCTGTTGTAGCGGCACAGCAATCGACAGTGACTCAGTGCTGATCTCACTAGTGCCGAAAAAGTGCAGGTCCAGCTCTCTCCTCAAACGCCTCGGGATGGGCAGGTGGTCTGAGTCTGTGGAGTACCTCTCGATCTCTGGAGGCAGAATAAAGTGATCCTCGTCCTCCAATAAACACAGATCTGACACATAATGACCTCTGTCTGCCCTTGACTCCACATCGACAGGAAAAAGGGGCTGTTTCAGGTCTTTCTCAAGCCGTCTAGTCATGTATTCTGGGAAATGCTCCAGACTGAAACCGTCCTCCATTGTGCTGCACATTTGCAGTAACTTTTCTCTGTGCCACAGGCCTAAATCCTGTCGGCCGTCCGGGTATGTCATGACCCCAGGGCCGAAACGTTCACCTGCATGATATAGGCCCTAAAGAGAAAAGGTTTTGTTTTATGTATTATGAAACAAATGTATTGTTAATGAATAAAATGGGAGTTGTTTACCTGAAACGTTGATCCATCTGAAAAAACTTGCACTCCGTATCCCTCTTTTCGATTCAGATAAAACTTTCCTGTGTATTTAGATCCATCCGGCCAGGAGTATGTGCCTTTGCCGTGACGATAATCCTTGAAAAATGAACCTTTGTAGGACTGATAAAACATGACGATTGTTTGATATTAAACTGGCAAAGACTTTATGATGTTTACAAATAATAATAGCAACAAAATAATCACAAATGTTAAATATAATATCATAATTATAATGTTGTGATTTAGATTATAAATATTAGGGCTGAATGATGTTGGGAAAAGCTGATATTGCGATATTTTATTTTTCCGCGATAAACATTGCGATACAGTTAATACAGTTTCAGAACAAAGTTTGAATGGCTCCATTTGGTAGACTTGTGTGGAGTCTAACAGTATATTCTGGCACAAAAATTGAATAATCACAATGCAAAAAATGCTTTTCTTACTTTGTTTTGTCTTGTTTCTATTCCAAATATCAAAAATTATTTGACCAAGTAAAAATAATGTTTAGTTTTCACTGTCAGAATCAGTCCAAATTAAGAGTTTTTTTTTTTTTTTGCTTGTTTTAAAGAAATTATCTGCCAGTGGGGTAAGCGAAAAAATCTTGTTTTCACTTTGATATGTAAAAAGACAAAAATTCTAAGAAAGAAATGTTTTTTTTTTGTTTTGTTTTTTTTTTTTAGCATAAATCATATAAACTCCATATAAATACAGTGATTACCGTAAATACAATTCTATGGCTCTCGGTTAACTATAATTCAGACTGTACATCGCCTATCTTTGCAATGTGACTATTGCGGATGCGCACATTGCATCAATGATGCTGAAACAATATATTGTACAGCCCTAATAAATATAATAAGTTGTTAGGTAAAAATATTAGGAAATCAAATGATGTGATTCTACCACAATAGATAGATGATAGATAGACAGACAGACAGACAGACAGACAGACAGACAGTTGAAATCAGAATTATTAGCCCCCCTTTGAATTTTTTTATCTTTTTCAAATTTTTTAATATTTTAACAGAGCAATGAAATTTTCACAGTATGTCTGATAATAATTTTTCTTTTGGAGAAAGTCTTATTTGCTTTATTTCGGCAAGAACAAAAGCAGTTTATAATTTTTTTGAAAACCATTTTAAGGTCAAAATTATTAGCCCCTTTAAGCTATATTTTTGATAGTCTACAGAACAAAGCATCTTTACACAATAACTTACCTAATTATCCTAACCTGCCTAATTAACCTAATTAACCTAGTTAAGCCTTTAAATGTCACTTTAAGCTGTATAGAATGGTCTTGAAAAATATCTAGTCAAATATTATTTACTGTCACAATGGCAAAGATAAAAACAAATCAGTTATTAGAAATGAGTTATTAAAACTCTTATGATTAGAAATGTTTTGAATATAGGGGGAAATAAACATTGGGGCAAATAACTCTGACTTTAACTGTAGATAGATAGATAGATAGATAGATAGATAGATAGATAGATAGACAGACAGACAGACAGACAGACAGACAGACAGACAGACAGACAGACAGACAGACAGACAGATAGATAGATAGATAGATAGATAGATAGATAGATAGATAGATAGATAGATAGATAGATAGATAGATAGATAGATAGATAGATAGATAGATAGATAGATAGACAGATTAAAGCTTAAGTAAACATTTGGCTTATTATTCAATAAATTTGCATTTCTCAAACAATATTAACTTATTTTAAATGATAGAAAATAAACAACAGCTTAAAGAGGGGAAATAAATACAAAATTGAGTATAACGAATAAAAAACACCAATTGTTGCAAATGTTAACGTTAACGTTACCTCTCCATTTGTCCATGTGAAGACGCCATCGCCATGTTTCAGGTTATTTATGAATTCCCCCTCATATTTGCATCCATCAGGCCACTCCTGGATGCCATGTCCATTTCTTTTGCAAGAAATATCCCACATTATACTGTTCTTGTCCTTATTTTTCAGCTCACATTCTGACTTTATACACTTTTATATGAGCAGCGTACTTAGGTGCCCTAGCAAAGAGATTTTAATGTTTAACGTCTGACAGTTACCATGACGACATGACGTCTCGCGTACATTCCTGAAACTGTCGTAAATTTTCTGTCAGAGCCATAATATGTGCGGAAAATAAAGTCCTCTTTAAATGAACTATACTTCAGCCGGTTCTTTAGTGGCATAGTTAGTAAGTTACTCCAGATGGTCTATTCACAACATAATATACAAGACAAAAGCCGGAGAGCCTCTTCAAATAAGCACGTGTCCCTCAATGGTTTGTTTTTCTGTTTCGAGTGATCTGCTATTGTAGCTAATAAACGCCGCGCAACTAAGCAACCGCAATAACCTGGGGTTTTCGAGAGCGCGCATTATGTTCACGCGCTATTACAGCTTTCTCGCTGCTATCAAGCACATAACATTGCACACTTGCATATGTGCGATAATATTGTTTGTTTAAATTAACTAATACGTATTTTTCCTGACTCATTAGACAGCAGCCAGTTGTGCAACAAGCTCCCTCAAGCGCGTGCTCTTGGGCGCGCGACACATGATACTTGACTGGCAATACTTAATGATACATGATACTTACAAGTGGCTGAACACGCAGTGCCCTTCTAACGAGATAAACATTTAATTAAGAATCCTGACGATTTGAATAAGTAACTACAATGACACCCATGATATTTTTTTGGGTTATAAGCTCTTTTTATCAGCTAAACTGAAGTCCAGTCTAAAAGACCAGCTAACTGGCAAAATGACAGATTAATATAAGATTTTATATTTATAATATAAGATTTTATATTTAAATACAAATAAAATAAATGAAAATAAACAATAAGACTCACTGGCCAATTTAATAGGTACCTGCCCTGCTGAAAAATCCAGCTTAAACCAGTCTAGGCTGGTTGGCTGGTTTTAGCTGGTCGACCAGGCTAGTTTTTGAGGGTTTTGGCCATTTCCATGCTGGTTTCCAGCCATTTCCAGCCTGGTCTTAGCTGGTCAGGCTGGATAATGACCAGCTAAATCCAGCTAAAACCAGCTTGACCAGCCTGGTTTAAGCTGAACATAGCTGGTTTTGGCTGGGCTCCCAGCCTGGCTAGGCTGGTCAAGCTGGTTTTAGCTGGTCATCTCCCAGCCTGACCAGCTAATACCAGGCTGGAAATGGCTGGAAACCAGCCTGGAAATGGCCAAAACCCCTCTAAAACCAGCCTGGTCGACTAGCTAAAACCAGCCAACCAGCCTAGGCTGGTTTAAGCTATTTTTTTCAGTAGGGGGTTCAACGTATTAATGCTTGCATCAATAATTTTGCAGTAACTCAGACACTGACCTGGTCAAGATGGTCTGGTGAAGTACAAACTAAGCATCTGAATGAGAAAGAAAGGTGATTTAGGTGACTGTGGCATAGTTGTTGGTGCCAGGCCGGCTAGTGGAGCAAATTGCCGTCAAATGGGATTTTCATGCACAACCACCTCTAGGGTTTATAAATGAGGATGGTCAGAAAAACTGAAAAGCAGTGGGGGAAATGCCTTGTACATGCCAGAGATATGTCAGCAGAGAACCTCTGAACTGGTTCAGCACACAGAAAGCCAACAAATAACCACTCATTATAAATGAAGAGCATTTATGGACACACAATTCATCGAACATTGAAGCAGATGAGCTACAGCAGCAGAAAAAAACTCTCTGTCAGCTGAGAACAGCAAACCGAGGCTTACAATTCACATGATATCACCAAATATGGACATTAGAAGATTGGAATAGGGTCACCTGGGTAAAGTGTAATGAGTCTTGATTTGGCATGAAAGCATGGATCCATTTTGCCCAGTATCAATGATTAGGGAGGTGGTGTACTGATGTGAAGATATTTTCTTGCCACCTTTTACCAGCCAAGACTTACAAATATTCTAAACTGTTCCAACACAAATTTGGATAATTTTTTTTTTAAATGTAACATTTAAAAAAATATAACCCAGTTGGTGGGCTAGTCTATATTTTACTCAAACTTCGGTTGAAACAGCCCAGCATGTATAAAGTGCACTGAAGACCTACATGGAAAACCAGCTGAACCATCAATACCCATAACACCATCACAATGTAGGATATATGGAGGAAATCCTTGTCTCTCCTGGATTATCTGTACAGTTTTTGGCCAACTGCAGTGCAAAGCAAATATTTACAGAGCATTTTAAAATCTCCCTTTATATAAAATGCCTGATTTTAGGAAGTTGAAACTATTCAAATTCATGCCCCCAGGCACATACTGTTCCTATTATAAAATGATTTTAACCATGCCAGACAGGTTTTTCCAGATGACGCGTTAAACAAAATTGAAATGCAGCATGTTTAAAAATAACAACCCAACAAATCACAATAAAAGGCATTGTTTATGTTTTTATCTAGTAACCAGGTGCAAAAGGCGGTGGATGTCGGTACTCCACTGGTAAGTTTCTATCACTGGATTTGGGAATACCATCAGATATTGGATGTTCAGCTAACTCCTGATAGTCATTTTCCACTAGTCCTTCAACATTAGTGTTAATGCTCTCCAAAGCAGAAGTGGCATCTTTCTGAAACAAACCGCCGGCGATCTCCTCATACGTGTGATCTTCAGAGCGCTTCTTTTTCAGCTTTTTCTTGATGTGCACCAGGCTCAGGACCACAGGTTTCTGCTGTTGGTTTTTCTGTTGGGTACGGCCTTCATTGGGTGTGTTTGGTGTGATTTGCTGTCTGTCAGGGATTACTGGCATCAACCCTTGCGATCTGTCCTCTGTGCTTGTTTGTAAGCGGCTTGGCAAGCGCATTCTGGGCGGTAACTGAGGTGGTGTTTCTTCAGTTGGAGTTTTAGAAGCAAATACTGTTCTAGGCTTCGGAACTGGCTTTGTTGGCTGATCCTGAAGTGAAAAAAAGCTTGATTAAACAACCTGTTTATTCATTCATAAATTTTTTTCAGCTTAGTCCCTTTATTAATCTGGGGTCGCCACAGCGAAATGAACCGCCAACCTGTTTATTAATTATTAAGTAACGAATAATTGACTCCAGTGTTTTTTTTTTGGTTTTTTTTTTCATTATTTTCAAATACACTCTCAGAAATAAAGGTACAGGAGCTGTCACTGGGGCAGTACTTTTTAAAAAAAGATTTATTTGAACCCAAATAGTCCACAGTGGTACCTAAAAGGTACATATTATTACCTAAATGTACCTTAAAAGTACCTCTGAGGTACCATTATGGACCCTTAAAGTACAAATATGTACCTTATGAAACGTTTGAGCTTGTCCACTTTCCCACATTCAGCGGTAGTCGAAAAGCATTTGATCGGATTGCTCCAACAGAGTGTTGTTTGTCCCCCTACTGACCGGAAACATCATCAGTCACTAGCCCGACAGTGGAAACGCGACATAATTTCGGCCTCACTGCTCATGCTCCTGGGCTATTGGCACGGCCCAGCCCGATAAAAGGCTCGCACTGGCCCGACAGTGAAAATGCGACTAATTGTGTGGCGTTTTGATGATAAGCAGAAGTTTCTGCTACTCTTCCCATCTTTCTCCGTCATCATAATTTCCTCTGATTTGTTAGTTGCTTGAACTTATTTCATCCACTGGTTTGAAATAACTGAAAACGCCCATACATAAACATGCACACTGTGCAGCTTAATCAAGTGTAGTATTAGTGACATAGTATAAGAGTGCACAGACGTGTAGCCACATGATTTACTCTTCACTCTGATGGTTAAAGGGACCGAAAATGGACAGAAGAGACACATTGAGATTCCAGGTGTGAACGGTAATGTCTGCTTTGTCCACTTGTGATCAGATCGACGAAAATGCAACTTAATACCAGGTGTGGACAGCACATAAGGGACCATCTTTGCATCTGACAAAACGCAAGGTGCTTCAAAAGATGTAAGTGTATATTGATCACGCTCATACATTAAGCATGTTTACATAGAAAAACATGTGGACATGAGCCATCACACCCCAGATGGAAAGCGCCATGTGTTTTAGAATTCTAAACATTCTATGAGAGTTGCTAGCATTGTATAGAGAACAAAGTAAAGAAGGAGACTTCTGTATACCGCTACATTCCTACTTTCTAATAATTTAACAGACAGGGGTCAGTTATTCTGCTTACACTATGGTTACCACAACAGTAGACATTGTTCCGATGTTATATTTGTTTGGTTTTTGTCCACAAAATGCTCCTGTATGTAGGACTAGTTTCTTACGCATCTCATCCAAAGCATTTTGTTTTGTTTAGATTTTTGACAGTCATATTCAGCATAGTGACAAATTGCCAAGAACTGACACTCAATAGAACGTTTCATTGCAACAGCAGCGCCCAGCAACATCCCCGCGATTCCGCCATTTTGGAATGAAAGTGATCGGTTGTCCATTGGATCTTATTGCTGTCGCAATGGCAAGCAGTTGCTTTGCTTTTTATTTATTTATTTAAAAAGTGCATTAAAGCTGGGATACAACCTAAAAGACGACAATACAGCACTTACTATCACAATCATCGGCACTTTTAATATTTTATTTTACAGACTTATAATATGCTTTTGTTCTATTGGAGTTTTCATTCCAAAATGGCCGCTGCGTGACGCTTGAGGCATCTAGTGGCTGTTTCACAAATCACACTAGAGTCTCGCCTCTTGGTGATTCTATGCTCTTTGATAGTGATATGAAACTGTAAAGACTGATTTATACTTCTGCGTCAAGCAAGAGCCACGCGAGTCCATTGGAGTGAGTGTTTACAAGTGTCGAGTCCCGTGAAGGAGCTCCAGATAAAAAGTTTTGAGTTTACCTCATGGTTAAAGTTGTTGCAAGTCCACCGGTTCCTGCCTCAAAATGAGTGAGTTTGAGCCACTTGTACATTAAGGAAGCGTTCAGAAAAAACAAAACACTAACGAAGAAACTCGACACAGTAACATAAACACCTACTGTCAGCTAGTGTTACAGAAGTATTATAGCAGAGGAACACGAACAGCCCGCAGAAGTATAAATGCACGGTAAAGCGCAAGGCATGCGCCGTCGGTCACGCTGATCACTCAACGGAGAAGTATAAACCAGGCTTAATGCAGAACTACTTTAGCTGCGCATGTATCTGAAAATAACTGCACACCTTAGAATGTTCATTAGCCAATCAGAATCAAACATTTACAGGTAATAAATTATATACATATAATGTCTGTTGATGTAATATTACCGTGCTCTGTATATTCAAAGCGCTCACTTCTGTCTCCAAGCTGGGATATAGTCTCCCAGGATGACTTGTAGAATTGTTTTGAAGCTGTGAAGTCTGGTTTTCTTCAGAGATATTTGATTGAAGCGTATTTGTTGCTGTTGAAGAACTTATCCATTCAACCTGCCTATGGCTTACATCTTTCTTTTGAGGAAATAACAGCTCAACATAGTTAGTTTTGCCGCCCTGAAACACAAAGGAGAAAAACTTTAGTTCAAATCAACACACATATACTAAGATTACGATTCATGGTTTCCGTCCACTCTTAGTGTGTCTGATGTTTTAAACAGAAATTGCATGCTATGTGAGAATGCAAAAGTGTACAAAACTTTTACTTCAAATTGTTTTTAAATGTGTGATGTATAAATTTTATAGGACACTAAGGCTGTATTTTTATAGCTCTACATTACAGCTATAATACAAACAACTTTAACGGATTAAATGATTTCCTATAATATTTTTTCTTCTGCAGAAATCTGCTTTTATTTATTCATTCATTCATTTTCTTGTCGGCTTAGATCCGCCACAGCGGATTAAACCGCCAACTTATCCAGCAAGTTTTTACGCAGCGGATGCCCTTCCAGCCGCAACCCATCTCTGGGAAACATTCACATACACTCACTCACACACACACACTCATACACTGCGGACAATTCAGCCAACCCAATTCACCTGTACCGCATGTTTTTGGACTGTGGGGGAAACCGAAACACCCGGAGGAAACCCACGCAAACGCAGGGAGAACATGCATACTCCACACAGAAACGACAACTGAGCCGAGGTTCGAACCAGCGACCCTGCGACGTTCTTGCTGTGAGGCGAACGTGCTACCCACTGCAACACTGCGTCGCCCTGCTTTTATTTAATATAAACTAAACAAATCTTTTTTACATTATACTATAATTATTATCATATAATGTATATAATCTTTTAATAATTTTTCGATGAATGTGAGAAATGTGTTATACAAATATGTTGTGCATAATGTTTTAATGCATAATTAATATGCACTATTAGTTCTACAAAAATAAGAAAAGTATTTTAAATCTTTTACAAAGAACAGTTTAAATTACATATTAAAAGGGAAAAAATATTTTCATACTAGTTTTATGTTCTTGTTTAGCAGGTGATTAGCATCTGAGGGGTGCCCAAACTCAGTCCTGGGGAGGCCGGTGTTCTGCAGAGTTTAGGTCCAACCCCAATTAGACACCTGAACCAGCTAATCAAGCTCTTTCTAGGTATACTAGAAACTTTCAGGCAGGTGTGTTGAAGGAAGTTGGAGCTAAACTATGCAGGACAGCGGCCCTCCATGACTGAGTTTGGGCACCCCTATTTCTAACTAGACTGATCTGTGTCTATCAAGGGAATTATAATGAATAGCCATAACCAAATTGTTTGCAACGTACAGGGCAACAATATGCTAGCATTTAAGTGTAAATCTATACCTGTTCACAGGCCACAGTGAGCAATTCATTGTAGGGGAGAATAGGGCATCTGCGATGGAAAGCCACCAAGTCATGAAGGGAACAATACACCGTCTTTTCTCCCACTATCATAAACTGGTTATCTGGCAATACGTTGATCATAAAGTGTCGGCATCGATCTTCAGCTCTAAAAAAAGAAGATTAACAGGTCCGCTGTTAGGTCTAATGGACTCATTTGTGTTTAGATGTTTTGCGACTTCCTTATAGTCAAAATTAATAACTGGCAACAATGGCCATATTCACACACACACACACACACTTACCGATAAGATAATGTATAACCCACTCTGCTTTCGCTAACACGAATAAGGAAGTAACCAGCCGGCTTGCACATCAGCATTTCCTCTGCAGCTCTAAAACACAAAATTATTTTATCGGACTGGATATCAGAAACCTGATTTTCAGGTAGATGACATCGTCATGACATGACACATTTCGAGCATTTTTGAACAATTCAAAGTCATGTTTGCATATTTTTGTAACATAAGTCCATTACTTCCTGGATATGATGCCATGAAACCATTCAGGAACAATTCCATTCTCCAAAATGCAGCTGCGCTGGTATTCTGTAAACCAGCTAAATGCTGCATTACTGCTGTCATTTGGCAAAGGAACGGCCATGACATCAAGTGTGTCCTATAAACACACAAATAATTGGATGAAATAATGTGTAATTTGTATGTATAAAGGTCAGTTTGTGTTTGTATCTAAATTTACATTAAATTTACATTGAATCATTTGGCAGATGCTTTATCCGAAAAAGGGGTTTCTGCAGGTTTCACAGAGTTAAATTTAAGACTTTTTAAGACATTTTTTAAAACTTTAGACTCATTATGGGCTATGAAAAATATTTTTCCCTATCCAAAATAAATACATAAATAAATAAATACATTTAATAATACAACAATAACATTTTTTTTATATTTTAGATTTTTTTCTTAGCAAATTTTTTTAAATATTGTGTAAAAACAAGCAAGCTCTACTTGTATCCATTCACTTGTTTTCCAATATAAACTTTCTTTAAAATGAAAAAAAACGAACAAATGTTTTTAAAGTTTTAAAAACTATAATAAACTAAATCTATGCACAACAATCTGTCCAGATCAGTGTCCTCAGCAGTAAATACACAGAGAACGTTTAAACAAATGTTATTGTATGGAAAACAATTAAACCATTATGATAAATAGAGTAAAAAATTACGGTTTAAAATAAAAGTTCAACGTTTTATTGAGATTTATTGTTGGTGATTGTATGGGTTTTGGCCAGATTGAGTAGCAATGCATGAACATGAGAGAGTGATTTTGTTAATGTCAAATTTAGTGTATATATATATATATATATATATATATATATATATATATATATATATATATATATATATATATATATATATATATATATAGGCCTATATACTCACAAAAACATTAATTAATTAAAACAGACCAAAATCTATGTTATATTAAAGAAGTCAACAACACTAACCGTAACCGTAAGTATGACAAAATGACAAATGTTAACCGTTAAATCAACATAATTCACACGTAGTTTTACTATCCTCACAATTTCAACTTCTAAAATTCTTTACATAATTCAGTTTCAGCCCTGGATAAGTGACCCGCTGTGGATAGCCTAATACATGTTTTATACGTCTGACATTAACAATAACGCATCAAAAATGTCATGTTTATAATGCACTCACCTGCCGAGGAACAACGCACGGTATTGTGACAGCAGTTGACGTGACCTCACCTGTTAAAACTGTTGTATGGGTGTGGTTTAATTAAAGTAATCGACACATACATTTAAACTATAAATAATTACAGCAATGTACTCCAAATCATTCTTCGGTTTCAGCTGAAAACATATCCAGTTTACAAACGTTGACAGTTGATTTGTTCGCGGGAAAATTTGACGTATGATAATACAGTGAGTAGTATTTACGTTACTTTCACCTTCCTGGAAGGTCTGGTCAAAGTCTAATTAGCTGAACCTGCAGGCAAATCAGGTAAGTCTGCTCGACGAACGTCACGGAAAGTAATGAATATTCATAAGCCAGTTCGTCCCATTTTTTTCTTGTTGGTCTGGCGGTTTTCGGAGATTCTGACAGGTCTGGAGGATTACTGTCAAAGAAATGCTTCGTTTTTGTGTCATATTATTGCTAACACTTACTGTAAGTACTTTTTTGTGTGAGATGTTTTGCTCAAACAGCTAAGCAAGCATATTAAATCAGCAATTCAGCACTGTAGATGGTTCTGGACAATAATCAAACATTTACCTCACGAACAGACTTTTTATAAAAATTTATTACACAGAAAGTGGAAAAAGAAACTTTTGAGGCATTTTGAAATACTCATTTGACAGGGGAAAAAAAAGAAAATTCACAAAAAAAGTTTCAGGAATAGCTAATATTTCTTTGGTCTTTGTTTGGTCTTCATTTTGTGTTGGCTCCACAAAGTTAACCTGGTACTTTAATATAAATGTATACATACCATGGTGCATTATCAATGGAGTAATGAACTGCAATGCAGCATGTTGACCAGTAGATGGCGCGCATGTTGTAATTATGAAAAACGCCAAACTGCGCTTCAAACGCCTTCATAACTTCTTCGGTTCTTCAGAATACACAATAGCACAACTTCAAGTGATTTTTTTTTTTGCTCGAGCACATGAATGTTCACTTTCCCATGAGGTATGACATTTATTAAGTTACTTAAAACAGGAAAACTCAGATATAGCACCTCATCGTTTGGCTAATTTTTGAAAGTTGTCGAGCCAAGTCGAGAAAAGAAAAAGCATAAAAGAAATACCTCAGACCAAAAATTAAATTATTATTCTGTGAGAAAATAGGGCTCAATAGTTTGCGAGTTGGAATGAAGGAGAGTATTTGTGGAATGTTTTAAGATGGACGTCGTTTTCTCTCATCGTCTTGCTTTATAAGCTGTTCAGCTCCTGAAGTGTTTGATCCAGCACTTGGTGCATTCCCAGGTTTTCTTCTTTTGCAGAAGATAATTTTTCTAAAAGCAAAAACGAAAATCATTAGTCAGACGCTCATTTTAGGCTATACACACTATTTTTACAAGCAGTTTAGTGCACTTCTTAGTGTTCTTCATCCACAACCATGTATGTGTTAAAAAAAGAAAAGTAAACATTCACTTTACTTGTGCTGACAAGTCAGTGTGTCAGTAATAACATTAGATAAGCATGAAATTTATGGGTACAATTAAATAATCTTTAAAATGTTAGGATTAGTAACATAATATATGAAGAGTTCAGATGGATAAACCTCAAAGTGCCATCTGGAATTTTCTTCTAAAATTAGCATTTTTCTCAGACGTATTTCTTAATTTAGTAATTTCACTTTTACGGCAAAGAATAGGTCATTTTCATTGATTTTAACATGAAATAAATGAACATAAGAGCAATTCCATTATTATGGATGTGACATTTGCAGTAAAAACTCAAAACATATATTCACATAGAAAGTATATATTAACAATATATTGAAAAATCTGTTTATATTTTCCAGAACAACTGACCACTGATTTAAGGTACCAGAAAAATATCAATCTGTAATCATGTTTTGTACTTTAAATGAGGAAAATAAAGGTGCGTTATGGACGTGACCAAAAAAGTATGCGAGTTGACAGTATACAACATACTTTGTAGAAATTCTGTAAATTAAACTGAATAACCCAAATGAATTAATGATAATCAAAAGGTTGAGTCGGGTCACTATAGAACAAAAATGATTGATTTTATTTAATTAAATATTTTTGCATTTATGAAGAAAAAGTGTTGTTGTGACATTTGATGTCATGTGACAAATGTGAAATTGTCACTTGTGCAAATTTGGTGAATTAAATATATAAGTTTGAAAACATTGACAGATACATTTTGGAGTATTTCTAAAGTTCTGTAAAATGCTTGCTTAAACAAAAAAATCCAAATGGTTTCCATATTTTAGTGAAAACTTTTTTTTCATGGCAAGGTTGACTTTTGCATGGAATTGCTCATATACATAAGAGGCAGAGAAAAAATGCTCATTGTAGAAGAAAATTCTAGATGGCATCTGAACTCTTTGTCTATTTATTATCTTAGTGTGAAATCAGACATCTAAAATGTAACCTCACCTTTGTGGACATCAGAAAACCGTATATTAAAGCAGAAAAATATTACATTGTGTATATAGAGTACATTTTTTGAGATATGCAACACATTTTAATCTATTTATTAAATAAATTAGAAATCTTTATAGAAAAAGAAACACTGTAACTGTGGGATTTTGACCACATACAGTTATTTTAGAGATGTTATAGTTACAGACATTTCCTAAAATGCATGACCTTTCCTGTCATTTGGGATAAATGGATAATAATTTAAAATAAATCAATAATTTTAGATTTGTGAATAAATTTTAACAATTCCTGGAAAAAACTAAACCAAGGGAATAATTCACTTCAAAGTCAACAACACGTTAAAATTAAAATGCACCTTTAAAGGGGTGGTCCACTACGATATCACATTTTAAATTTTTGTTGACGTGTAATGTAGCTGTGTGAACATAAACAACATCTCTGAATGTAAGATGCTCAAAGTTCAATGCAAAGGGAGACATTGGCTTTTACAGAGTTAGCCTAGAAAAGCTTACAGCGAACAAAGTTTGGGGACTACAAAAAAAAAAAATCATCCGGGTAAATGATGTCATAAACCCTCAAGGTTACGCACATACACCCTGTGCAGCGAATGGGTGTGACCAGAGGCGCTGTAATGTTATAACAGATATGCCTCCTCGTGATGTGGAGCTGAGCTGGGAATGACAGCACATTGTGTTAGCTGACCAATCAGAGCCTCTTGAGGGCGGGTCTTTCAGAGGAACTAGTAAATATGACAGTCTTTTTTATGTAAGCTGAGTAGCTGTATATAATCAAAGTAAGATATATGAAAAAATAACATGATTTTTTACAAATGAAGCATGAGCACCCATTGCTTTGCATCTTAAAACACAACCAAGCCTTAAAAATACACTCTGGACCACCCCTTTAAATCAATATTCATATAAAATATTTCTAGATTTTCCATGAATATAGAGACATTTTCCAGTCTTCTTGATGAAAATTTAGGAATGAAAGCAGAAGAATATAAAATGAAGCAACAGTGTTTTATTGAGAATAATGAAAACATTGAAGCAAAAATGAAAAAAAGTGGCAAGAAAGAGATGCAGTAGAGCGAGACAGAGATGGATCTACAGGGATGTCATGTCATTGAGAGCATGATCCAGCTCCTCAGAGATGGCTTTATACTTCAGCTTCTGAGCATAGAGTTCATCTGAAGATTGGCAGGAAAAGCGGGAAAGCGAAGGATGAGATGCAGCAATGACCAGAAGCAAAATAAAAAAAAGAGAAAGACAAGAAGTTAATTGGCTTATGAAGCTAAACATGCTATGAAGCTCACAGAGATCCCATTCTAACAGAAACAACCTAAGCAAATTGTGTGCAAACCAACAATGGCTAAAATTTCCATTCGACCTACAGAAGATAGGCACCCTTATTTACTTTTATTAGGCATGTATACTTTTATTAAGCAAATGTAGATTGTGGTCTTGTAATGAATTGAACGGCGCTGTAGGAAACAGACATACTTTATTTCTCTTGGGACAGAAGCAATACCAGGCTTGTTTAAACTGATTCCATATACAGACTCAACTATATCATCTTCCAGCAAAGGGTTCAAGTAGTATGAAATATGAGCCTGCTGGAACTCTGACAAAATATCTCTAAAACAATATGGTGTTGTGTGTTTCAAAAGATTTTTATAGCCGTTATATAGGCAGGGAGGATGACCCGCTTGTGACCTGTAAAACCCCATCCATGCAAGACTTCTCAAAGTGTGCTGCTTAGCCACTGGTTATTTCTAAAGGTGAAAAGTTCATTTAGCCACTTCCTAACCTTCACTAAAGTTCACTAAGAACTTCACTGTTTATACAAATCGTTTAGAGCGTATATCGTCGCTGCCAAGTCAAACGTACCCAATTTAAATGGTTGTTAGCTACAGCATATGCTACCAAAACAAATATCTAGGCATATTAACTCATTTAAAAAAGTAAATATCATTTTGGAATCAATTTTAGTATTAAAAGTATTTATCTATTCATTATGGTGGCTTGAGAAAGCCAACATACTGTTATTCTACGTAAACTTATTATTCTTTCGTTTTCTTCTTCTTAGACTATTTTAAGATCTCATTTCCTCCTTGATCATTCATATTACAACCACCAATTTAACTCCAAACCTCCAAACTATACTGAACCTCCAAACTATTACTGAAGTTGCTATATCTTTTCCAACTGATCCAACATACGGTTTTCCTAAAACTGACCCGAAAAATTTGTAGAAATCCTAATGACTTAACATTGGACTAAACTTTGTGATCTCGTACCTTTGCGCCAGACTGTCATACAGATTTAAGGTTACACTCATTTAACTCAGACTACCAATCTGCTAATCACTGATGATGACCTAACAACTTATTGGCCACACCCTAGCAATCACTTTCGGCAACCTAGCAACTGTCCCGTAGTCTTTTATTATAAAAAAAAGCTGCCATTGACTTTACATTGGACATACTTATGACATACCAAACCATACTGACAAACATACTAGCAACATGCTAATTCATACTAAAAACATACTAGCAACATGCTAATTCATACTAAAAACATACTAGCAACATGCTAATTCATGCTAACTACATGCTAGTGTATCCTAAAAACATGCTAGCAACATGCTAATTCATACTAGAACTATGCTCATTTATGTTAGCAGCTGCTAAGCAACTACTCAGAACACCTAAGCAGCTGCCTAGCAACGTTTGCAACGAACAAAATATCAGCAAATCTAGTTTTTGCACCAGTCCATTAAGTCAAATAATATTATTTTCTAAAATGAACCACCCAACCGTTTAAAATCTAGTTCTGGAACCAGTTTGAGTCATCTGAAGGAAGCATTTTGCTAAACCAATCAAGGCAATTTTTTACTACATCATTAGATAATTTTCTTGATCAGGGGTTCTCAGTCCTGGAGGTTCAGTGTCCTGGAGATTTTAGCTCCCAACTTGCCTCAACACACCTGCAAGAATGTTTCTAGAAAGCCTAGTAAAACTGCGGTCACACTGGACTTTTCTCCCTATAGACTTCCATTCATACTCAAGTGAAAGTGTCAGACTGGAAACGCAAGCTTGTGCGACAAGTTTCGCAGTCAGCTGCGGTGCAAAGTTCAGTGAACTCTGATTTGCAAAATCACATCAAGTGAAAACATGACCTCACTGCATAGAAATTTAAATTATGGACCAATCGCTTACTTTTTAAATGTCTAATCATCTTGTTTAATCCTGCCTCTTTTCACATTGCCGCACAACTGAATTTTGCATGCTCAAACTCAAGTGTGACAACGGCATAAGAGCTTGATTAGCTAGCCCAGGTGTGTCTGATTGGTGTTGGAGTTAAAATCTGAACGACACAAAAGCTGCGTCCCGAATCGCATACTTATGCACTATTCTATGCCATTTTGTAGTATAAATAGTGTAAGTAGTGTGTTCACACTGAAAACTCTAAAAACATTAAGTGCACTTTAATTACCCGGATGATGCACTCATTCATCCGCTAAAATTAAGTGTGTAATGATGGACACTTCACGCACTCAATGACCGCAGTTTTGCTTACGTAGCAGAAGGGGCGGAGCTATCGGACGCACATGTTGGATAACTTTATTTATTTTGGATGGTGAAAGCAAAATTCTCCTACGAGAGTGATTATAGCGCCTCCCGATGGTGAATGCGGCAATACTCACGGCAGGTATTATTTGATAATTCGGTTGTTTATTTCACTGATTTGGCAACCGTCAAACGTCATCAGGGAAACGGTTTGAATTTCCGCTTAGTAAAAAAACATTAGTGTGCCATTTGGGACACAACTACATACATATACTATCCTGTTGAGTGTGTAAGTGCATAAGTACATAGTGCATGAGTGCATAGTGTGCCATTTGGGACGCAGCTAAAGACTGGGGTTCTCCCTGACCTAGATCATTTGCTAAAATAAACCACACAAACCAATCAAATTTAGTTAAGGAAACCTGTGTGTGTCAACTAAATGAAGCAACTGACTAAAATTAACCTTTCAAAACCAACCAAAATCTGTGTTTTGAACCCATTTGAGTCATTAAAACATCTGGTAACTCCTCCATTCTCACATTTGATCGCATTCCAGAAAAAGCAGCAGCTTTGAAAATAGATGTTCACTCAAATGAACCGTTCAAACAAAGAAATTCACAAAAACAAACTATCTAAATGAGCCAATTCACCAAAATGATAAACTTTCCCAATCTGTTGCCACTATTCATACCGCAGTATCTAGGTCACTGTTTATTACCAGAATAGCTATAGTGTTTTTGAAACATCTACTCGCACGGCTGGAAAACGTTATCAAATTAGCAGAATCTCTATGAATAACTGCATGAACAATGTAGATAAAACTGTTTGAGCTGAACTGTTTGGCGCTACATAAATCTTGTTAAAAAAGAACTTGACACAGAGATTAACCCATAGAACTAATTAATGAGTTCATACCTTCAAGGTCATCAATGGATTTTTCCAGTTTGGCCACTGTCCTCTCTGCAAACTCTGCACGGGTCTCGGCCTAATAAACAGAATAAGGAAGTTTAAAAAAAAGTTTCTAGGGATGAGAAAGGGCAGCTTGTCTTTGACCTTGTCTCATTTATTGACTGCTTTACCTCCTTCAGCTTGTCACTAAGAACTTTGATTTCTTCTTCATACTTGTCTTCTTTTTCTGAGTACTGTAACAAAAGACAGACACAGAAAAAATATTTCTCTTTCCGACAACATCAAATCAACTTTGCATCCCCCTTGAAGCTATTTTGTTGTGGGAATTTCAACCGTTAGTCTGTAAATTGCCGTGTTTCGGTTCCAAAGCAATTATCAGGCTCTGAAGTCGAGCCTCAAATTGCACCTTTGTGAAAGTTAGCAGATAAAACAGAGGTGTTGACTTACTTTCTCTGCCTGAGCCTCTAGGGATTTAAGGTTGTTGGTAACGTTTTTCAATTCCTCCTCCAAATCACTAGCTTTGCTGTTTGAACAGAAAACAAGCTTTTAATTGGTAAGGCAACAAACATTCACTATTTAGTCTGCAAGATTAAAAGTGTGAGAATAGGTAGACGATACCATTCAGCGACTTCAGCTCTTTCTTCCGCGCGCTCCAGCTCACCCTCGAGAATCACCAGTTTACGGGCCACCTGTAGACAAGATGCTTTCAGATGAACAATTTCAAACGTCAAACATCTGGAAGCTGCGTTCGACAAGGTGCTTGTAACTCACCTCTTCGTATTTGCGGTCAGCCTCCTCGGCGATGTGCTTGGCCTCCTTTAGCTGCATCTCCTGGATCTCCATCTTCTCCTCATCCTTCATGGCGCGGTTCTCGATTACCTTCATGCCTCTGGAGGTGAAACGAAAGGTTAGTAATGCAGTCATTATTAATGACCTTTCAGGTAACGTAGATCAAAAAGTATGCTAACAAAAAATCTTAGATCAGGGGTGCCCAAACTGCGCCAGTGTCCTGCAAAGTTTAGCTCCAACACTAATCAGACACACCTGGGTTAGCTAGTCAAGCTCTTCAGCTGCGGTCACACTAGAGATTGAGCTTGCGAAATTCTGTTGTATGGCTCTGCGAAAAGGGGCGGAATTAAACAAGATAATTACAAATTTAAAAAAGTGAGTGATTGGTCCATGTTTTAATTTCCTGTGCAGTGAGGTCATGTTTTAATCCTCGATTGATCTCACACAGTCATGTAATGCAATTTCGTAGGTCAGAGTTCATTAAGCTTAAACTTTCCAATGCAGCGAACTGTGAAACTTGACGCACAAGCTTGCGTTTCCGGTCTGACGCATTTGTGTGCGTATGAATGGAAGTCTATGGGAGAAAAGTGCAGTGTGACCGAATCTCTTCTAGGCTTTCTATAAACAACTTGCCTCAACACACCTGCAAGGATGGATCGCAGGACACCAAGTTTGGACACCCCTTTCTTAGATAGTATTGAAAATTTACAGTTCACACAAAAAAATGAAATTTACCCATTTAAATTGAATCATTTTAATCATTAAAATGATTATTAAATTAAGTAAAAATGTTTACTTTCCCTCATGTGGTTTAAACCTTTATAACTTTCCTCTTCTGTTGAACACAAAAGAAGATGTTTTAAAGTGTACTGGTTGCTGGGACCCATCAAATTCCGTAGTGGGAAAATAAAACCACTATGGAAGTCAATATAGGTCCCTCAACAGAACAAATAAACTCTAATAGTTCATTTTTGGCTAAACTATCGCTTAAAATTTACCCTTGACTCACTCTCAAGAATATATTTTTAAAAATTGTTGCAAATGGTAGCCATTGATAAACATAGCAGGACAGAAAATACTATGTAAACCAGTTTCTACCATTCTTCAAAGCATCTTTTTTGTGAGAAAGAAACTTAAACTGATTTGAAACTTTCATTTTTTTGTGAACTATGCCTTTAAATATAACCTCTTGAACAAAGTAAAAGTAACCGTGTTCTCTCTTAAAATTATATTTGAATTCCATCACATTGTATAACACCTTACGCAATCAACTTCAGGATTGTTTTTCGATGAGATAAAGGTGTTTTGCTCGAAAAAAGCAAAGTAGTTTGAACTCAAGGCAACAAAGCAAATCATACCTTCTATCATTATTTCGAAATTAAAAAGTTTCCACTGACCTCTCACTCTCGTCTGCTGCTTTCTCCGCTTCTTCCAGTTTCTGCAGTGCAGTTCCCAGCCGTTCCTGAGCCCGATCCAGTTCCTCCTCCACCAGCTGAATCCTGCGGTTCAGGGCTGCCACATCACCCTCCGCCTGATGGTAATAAAAAGGTCAAAGGTTAATAACATTCTGACATTTTAATTTAACAACTATTGGTCACACTTTATTATCGGTACAATTCACACTATTAATAAACCATGACTTTTGCCTCAATAAACTCCCAATTTGCTGCTTATTAATAGATATTAGAGTAGTGGATAGGTTTAAGATCTCTGAGGATTAGGGCTGTAGAGGATTAGGGCTGTAGAATAGATCAAGCAGAATGTGTACTTTATAAGTGCTAATAACAATAGGGAGGTAATAAGCTACTAGTTAGTGAGAATTGGTACTTAAAATAATGTGTTACCCAACAATGTATACTAGGGATATGAAATAACGCTTTGCTATGTTTTCAGGTCTGCAGGGATTCTCTCAATGAGGGCATGTAATGTTTGTCAGTTATTGCACAAAGCACAATCAACTGCAGAAGAAAAAACATTTTTGCACCCTTTACGACCACCACCACCCGTTGTGATTCAAACAAAGATTGGCCTCAGAAAGAGCACAATGGTGCCTCTGTGACATTTCTCGGTTTTAAGAGACCTCACAGCCAAACCGCCCACTTACTGCACTGATAATTGCAACTATAATTATGACGAATATCACCGTGGTTCTATCTCAGAGAGCGGACCGAGCGAGCATGCCAATCACTTGGAAGGAAAATCTCAAAGCCAGGAAACTGTATCTGGGTTTTAACTTTCAGAGGAGACAGAAAAACAAGGCTTAAGGGAAAAGTCAAAGAGAGCAAATCATACATTTTCTGATTGCACCTTTGTTTTTGAGTCAGAGCTGCTGGTATTTATGGACTCCATTCAATGTTTGGTGGAGCCTTTGGAGCATGAACAGTAGTAAACACATCATGGCTGACTTACTACACCGCTTACTTTTATAGACTTTAAGCTTTTTACCACTTTTTACCTACTGGACGTCATCAAAAAACATTATTAAACATATAAAGAATCATATATCATAGTATAGGTCTGAGTCCAATACATTCCAACTTTTCATCACACAGTACTTTATCACAATATAAATGTACTAATCAACTGTTAAAGTGACTTGATGTAAAGAACTACAACCAAACCAATTATTCATTCATTCATTCATTCATTCATTTTCCTTCAGTTTAGTCTCTGATTTATCAGGGGTCACCACAGTGGAATGAACCAGCAACTATTCCGGCATATGTTTTACACAGTGGATGCCCTTCCAGCCTCAACCGAGTACTGAGAACCCAACCAATAATTTTCTGAAAATATCAAATTGGAATAGGGTGACACCGTGGCTCAGTGGTTAGCACTGTTGCTTCACACCAAGAAGGTCGCTGGTTCGAGTCCCAGCTGGGTCAGTTGGCATTTCCGTGTGGACTTTGCATGTTCACATTGGTTTCCTCAGGGTGCTCCGGTTTCCCCTCAAAGGCCAAAGACATGCGCTATATGTGAACTGGGTAATCTAAATTGGCCGTAGTGAACATGTGTGAATGTGAGAGAGTATGGATATTTCCCAGTACTGGGTTGCAGCTAGAAGGGCTGTGTAAAACATATGTTGGATAAGGTGGCGGTTCAATCTGCTGTGGCGACCGCTGATAAATCCGAGACTAAGCCAAAGGAGAATGAATGATTGGTTTGGTTGTAGTTCTTTACATCATGTCACATTGCCAGTTGATTAGTATATTTGTATTGTGATACCCTAGTACTGTGTGATAAAACAGGTAACGCAATGAAAAAAAGTTGGAATGCACTGGTGTTACAACCTCTTTGATGTTTTTTTGTTAAATAATGTTTTTGATCAATAAAGGAACTAAGCCGAAGGAAAATGATAAGAACTTCAAAGAAAGATAAAGTTAAACAAATTTAGATGTAACTTTGGTAGCTAGTTCACTATTGGATGTCATTCAAAGACTGTTATAAACATAAACATTACCATAAATAATAGTTTAGGTCTTTGAGTCCAATTCTAACGCCATGTTTGTCTCATAATCACTACTTATTTTCGTGTAATGGTGAGAGAATGTAATTTATTTCCTTATAATTGACATATATTGGACATTTCGATTGTTTATATCTCTCGAAGTCACTAATCATCAGTCTATATAAAGTTGTGTATACAGTTAAAGTCTAAATTATTAGCCCCCGTCTATTTTTTCCCCTATTTCTGTTTAACGGAGAGATTTTTTCAACACATTTCTAAACATAATAGTTTTAATAACTCATTTCAAATAACTGATTTATTTTATCTTTGCCGTGATGATAGTAAATAAAATTTTGCTAGTTATTTTTCAAGACACCTCTACACTGCTTAAAATGACATTTAAAGGCTTAACTAGTTTAATTAGGTTAACTAGGCAGGTTAGGGTAATTGAGTAAATTATTGTATATTGAAGGTTTGTTCTGTAGACTATAGAAAAACAATTGCCTTATAGGGGCTAATGAGTTTGAACTTAAAATGGGTTTTAAAATATGAAAAACTGCTTTTATTCTAGCCAAAATAAAACAAAAATATTTTCTCCAGAAGAAAAAAATAGTATCAAACATATTGTGAAAATTTCCTTGCGCTGTTTAACATAATCTAGGAAATATTTAAAAAAGAAAAAAAAATCAAAGTGGGGCTAATAATTCTGACTTCCAACAGTTTCAAGATTCTAGTTCACAACATACCAGATGACTATGTCAAATTTATTATCTCATAATGGCAAGAATGAAAATTTTTAAATATAACTTAATATCTTGTGTTGTTTCTACTCTCCTTAACGCTATTTAACTAATCGAACAAAGCATCAATGAAACTTTGTCTCAAAATCTAATTTTACATCTGGCGATTAAGAGAAATGAGGTCATAACTGTGAGACCTAATGTTTTATCTGAAGATAGAATACATCCGGGCTTTAAAATGTAAATATACCTTGTACTTTGCTACGTGCGAGCCTTTTTATCTCACAAAACGCCATTTGAATGTGCTATTGGAGCTTGACATCAATAAAGAAAGGACCGAATGGACATTTATTCACACATATTTAACCACCAGGCTGAGGGTGTAGGAAGTTAACCCCCTTTCGAATAAAAGGGAGCCAAAGAGGGGAGGAGAAAAATGCACAGGAAATGGACACACTCCACATCCTCTCCCCTCCCAACATGCACATTCAGTTCAGGGTCAGGATACTCCCTCATGAGCCATGCCCTTTCCTTAGTCACTGTGCTCCCTATTGCTTTAAACACAAGCCATATATGGTAAAATAAGCTCTGGAGAATGCCAGTGGTGAAGTGCCAAAAAGATTTAAAGGCTGAAGAATGGAAAAAAAAATACGACAGCCATATGTTATCGAGAAGCGTCTGGACGCAGCCTTGAATATTTTATCACATACAAAATGAACCCAAGCGCGCATATGTGTGATATGAGACGAAAACATTCAGAGATCGATGGATTTCTGAGTCCACTTCACATCATGATACGCTCAGGGATGTTGTGACGTCATTGTCCAATTATACGATTAGGTCTAATATGTCGGGGAATGACCTGGGACTTAAGTTGCTGACTTCCTGAGCCACAGTTTTGTATGTGACATTGAGCAAACACTTGAGACCAGCTTTATCAATGTAATGGCCTTTTTATGGACTGATATTATGAAAATAAGGCCTATCAGATGAAAATGAACAGAACGTGCTTCTTTTTCATCCTATTTCAGAGATCTGACTGGTAAGAGAGCCCAATAGTTTGGTGCAGATGCAAACCCATTGATTGTTTCTAACAATCTCAAAGAAATGCAGACAATTTTGGAAGCATTTCAAAGCAAGTGATCACTTGTGCACATTTAACTGTAATAAGATATGCAAAAGAAGCCTTCATATCATAATTTTTAACACCATGGGAACCTGCCAATGCAAATATGAGGAGCATTACTGAAACGGACACCCTTCCTGTTCTCAAAAGTCTAATGTTTGTAGAACATGCTTCACATATGTTTCCAGTCTTGTTTTTGACATTTAACCCCACTGTGAATCATGGCCTGCATAACTTATGATGACCATCATGGAGAGATCATAGGTCACATCATTAACAAGTCCAAGGGTGGGAAACCTCCCACTAATGAAAGCAAAGTCAGCAATATTTCTGTCACAAGCATTTGACTCGATGAAACACCCCTAAAACAAGGAGGAAAGAATTAATGCGGAAGAATGGGATCATGATCCTGACTAACATTTCTTAAGACTTAAATGGTCAAAAGAAAATCGGCACACTACCACTTTAGCTCTCAATCTTTTTTTTATGTAACAGTTTCGACTACATGGTCTTCATTAGGTTGTTTTTGATCAAGCACCTGCCTTTGAGAATTCTAGATGTGCGAACATTTCTTGGTTGCTTAAGACTTAAATGGCCATGGAGAGACAAAAGATGCACTATTCGGTCTACAAACACTAGAAGAACAGGACTTTTCTTAAGCTGTTCCAGCTTCCTGCATATCTGCATGGTCATCTGAGTATGAAGAGGGTCCACAGGAAACTCCAATGTGGAACAAGAGACAACATCCTGACTCAGTTCCTTCGGGAGCTCAGGATGGGACATCCTTTTTAGGTCTTTCTTGAGCAACACAATCGAATTCTTAAGTTCTACGAAAGATCTGCAAACAGGCATTCATTGATTAAATCAGCGAAACAAGGGAACATTTGCATCCCTACAGTCGTGTATACCAATACCAGTGTGTTCTAATGGTGTTTTGGTCATATTCTCTTGAATATTAAAGGATGAGTCTGAAAATTAAAATGGACTACCTGAATTC